TTATTATGGCTGTAAAATGGTCGGAAAATGCCCTAAGTCTGAGAGCTTTGGTCCCTTTTTCTAAGAGTACTTGTACTTCACTTTTCAACATCTGATTAGTGATCTAAAAGAAAAATACTATTTTGCTTGCTCCATCTTATTTCACTCTCTTCCTCTACTCTCCTTTTCTCCATCATCCCTGTCAAAGTTGCAGTTTTGGTGGTACCAAGATTACCGTAATATATGCCATACATCATATATTTACAGAAAGCACAGATTCTCAGCTGTCTGTCAGCGGTAAAATTTTTCAGATTGAACAAACTTTCAAGGAGTTACGGTATTGAGAAGCCGTGTAGCGCTCTGCCGATACTTCCTGTGTTTTGCAATGAATGCCTACCTCATATGGTTACATTGTAAGTCATATATGTGCGCATGCCCACAACTGTCAGCTTTCCAACAGAGGAGGTAGACTAACATAAACTGCATTAAGCTTTTTTCTCCCTACTGTAAACATTCAGGGCTTTGGCAAAAACATCAGGGGCTTGAGCCCAAGTAGCCATCCCCTAACACCGCCCCTGTTTACAACTTCAGACTGCTACAGACTGTTGCTTTGTTAACAAACAACCCAAAAGAAACAATAGCTTTCCAGTGGCTTCATGTCTTGAAGAAAAAAAAGGCACAGTCAGTCTCTGAGAAAAAAAGTAGTGATACAATAACAGGAACCAGAGCGCAATAGTTTTGGTGCGCTTCCGTATATTCACCAGTGTGTCCTGCGCTGCACCGCGTTTGTCTGGAGGTGAAAGAAAAATTGTATGTGTATGCTACCACATGTGTATTTTATTGTAATATAAGTATGCTAATCATCATTGAAACTCACTTGGTGTGAATGCTTGCAGAGTCATATCTGTTTCTTTTTAATGAGCATGGGAAAGGAGAAGTATAGCCTCGGAGTTGAGACTGATACTTTTCCGCTGAAGCCATGCAACTAGATGAATGCTACAATTTCACTCACAGGTTGTTCTCCCAACAGTGTGACATTGAACTGATAAGCAGGAACCTGATGCTGAGCTAAGCTGTCTTTGTTCTCCCAGTACAGACCACAGCTGCAACCTGTACCCTATTTGAATACTGTTGTAATGCCATGCCACTTGTGAGATGATGTTAGTGGGCAGGGGTGTCTGTTTCTTGAGTGCATAAAGGATGTGTAAAAATCTGAATTCCTCAGTTAGAGGAAGCTGCCTTTGTTGTAAGCTGCTGACTCCTTGCAAGTAAAAGATATCCAAGAAAAAGAAGTCCACTATTTCTGTCATTCTTTTTTAAAATTCTATTTTCATCTTTTTGGGCGGGCCGCCCAAGTAAAGTCTATGTAGAGGAAACTGCAGTACTGTGCATGTGCAAAGCAATTTCTTCGCCTCCTGACACACATTTCACATCACAACACTGGTCTGCAGTCATTGCATCTCAACACAAAATAAGGTAAAGTATAATGAGTAGCAGTTTTAACCATGGTGGGCTTGGTTGAATTGCAAGCCTGTCTTATCCTGTAATGACTCTGCAAACCAGATAGGTAAATTTGAGAAGTGTTTTGCTGTTGTGATGGAAAAACTTTGGAACTACTTGTTCAAAAAGTCTAGGAAACAGAGTCAACACATTAAAAAAAAAACCAAAAAAAAACCCCAAAAAACTTTGGTTTACCTTGATATGGGCTCTCACGTCTTCCATGAAGCCTGCTGCACCACCATGTTTCTACAGGGGCCCAGAGTAGACAAACTAAACACTGGGTCAGAGGAGGGCATCTCTGAAGTGGTGGTTGCAGTCTGCTACCTCACCACTACAGTCTACTCACCCTTCAAGCTCTGCATGTCATATTTATCCTGCTGCAGCTTAAATCACTCCTACATACACATAAAAACCTCTCATTCCTCACTGAAGTAAAGCTACTTTAGGTTTTATAGTTCTGAAGGGAGGGAGATATATCGACTAGAAACAAACTTTGAAGTATAGGTTTAAATTGTTCAAGTCATTTCAATATAATGTCAGAGGAAATTTGCATGTCCTCTTTTCCTGTGTCCTTGAAAAGTTGCAGTGGAGAGACAGAAACTCAGAGAGGGAATTCAACCAGCAGGACAGAGGGGCAAACTGCAGGGAAAAAAAGGAAAGCAGATTTGTGACAAATGTCTCTGGGCTGCATGTGGGTGCTGCACATGGAAAACAGAGATTACACATGTTGACTGTGAGAGTCTGATGGATCCACAGTGTTTGTCCATGAAACAGCCCAAAAAACAAGCTACTTTTTAATTGTTAATATTATTCTGAAAGGCTAGTTTTGTTCAGAAAAACCTGCATGTAACACTCCAAAAATTTACTCTTTCAGCAATGACGCAAAATTAATAAATCCATCCTGTAGGGGAGAGTGGGGTAAGATGAGCCATTTTTTCAGATTTTGGATCACTACATCAAGGCAATCATAGTTTTGTCTCGAACTAGTGTATCTGCATATATTTCAAGATGTGAATCCCTGCGAACCAACAGAATGAGTGTAAACATAACTGTTTTATAATATAGCATGCCAAAAAAAGTGGTCTCCTATGGTCAACTTACCCCTTGTATGGGGTAGGTTGACTATAGAAGCGGGGTAAGTTGAGCCATATCTCTAGATTCAGGTTAAACTGCACCATATTCAAAGGAAACCATGTATAAACATGATCCAGAATACCAATGATTTCTCTGCTACCAAACAGCCTAATGATGAGTGCTGCTGCTGAACATTATATGCAGGTTTTGGAGCAGCATGTGCAGCCATCCAGATGATTCCTTTACAGCTTTTTGGGAACTTGGGTTTCCAGACAATGTGTCCTTAAATCCACATTTTTTTAAAGTAAGGACATCAAATAATAATAATCAATTTAGATTTTTAGTCACACTCATTAGACTTTCATTTCACGTCTGATTTCTGAAGTTTTCCTCTATCTTTCCCAATATTTAAGCTCCAATTGGAAATTAAATTTTATACCAGTTATCGCTTTTTTTTTTATTTTTTAAATGCAACATCAAATGAATGGTTTGGACAGTAGCAGCGGATCAGCAGTAGTTTAGGGTACACTGTTTGAGCTTTACTTCAACTTTAAATAAACATCTACAGTTTTTTACTATTAGCAAAAAGGTTGTCAGAAAGAACCTATGGCTCACAAATGAGGATTGTGAGTGATCGCAGCAGCAGAAAACTCTCTAACTGTTCATGCAGGCTGCTGACAGATTCAAAATTTCTTCCTCAGTGACTTAGGCACCTGCAGATCCCAGAGGTGCGATGTACCATCACAGCCCACAGGTGGCTGACTCCATCACTTTAACCTCACATGACTTCTCTAGCTTCTCAGTCCTTAAAAGTTAACTCTACTTAAGATCATTTTCTGTTTCCGTTTGGGGATTCAGGGGAGCCAAGTCCAAAGCAGTTGATTTCAGTGTTGGAGTTTGATGCTGTCGATAAAACTTTTATTGAGTTCTTGTTTGCCAATGGTTCTCATTATAAGTCAGACACTACCTGAGGAGGTAGAGGTTCTTTAATGGTTGTCTCAAAGGAGACAGATGGAGGTGGCAGACACAGTCTCACAAGTCTGTTGTAATAGAAATCTGCAAAGAAAGCCTTACTTTTCTAAAACCATAAAAATTTTGTTCTTTTTAAGACATTTGTCACGAGTTTTGATGAGAAATGAAAAAATATCCGCACTAATAGATGTTTTACAGCCTTGTTTGTTCTTTGGGTTGTCCAATTAGCAGCGATGGAGAATGGTGGTTGTGATTTGAGCAGGAGGCAAATGATTTTTGAATCAATAGAAAAGAACAAATTAGTATTAGCTCAGAAAAATAACCTTCTCTTCACTGAGGTATTAAATTGAAAAGCATGTCCGTTTTTGTACAAGCATCATTTTTTAGTTCTACAAATGAGCAAATAAAACACTTTTACATAATGACACTGCAGTAAAATACACTTGCTGATAAACTCAATGCCTAAGCTTTAAAAAGACTTACATTACAATGTAAACACCACACCTCTGCTAGCTGGTAGCTGCCTTCCAGCTGCAGATATCATAGCTCAAAGAACAGCATATGATGTTTTTGCTTATTCTAAGCTAATGACAAGGACTAACAGCAACTATTTTGATCACTGAGTGCAGTGGAGTTTTGCAGCTCGGGGACATTTATTATTATTACTTCATGGAAATGCAATTCGACCGAGATGCTAAGGCAGAAGAACTACCGCGTCTGCAGTGCAAAATGATTAATATGGTGACTATTACTTCATGGAAATGATCCGCTGCACTCAGTGATCGACTCAGCAGGGCTTCCCCACAAACAAGCGGCTGCTGGAGGAGAGTGGGTGAGTTGTGTTTGGTCTCTTTGTTAAAGAAATCAGGCAAAGCTAAAAAGATGTTTGGTGGCTAGAACTATGACTGGAACCCCATATGTACAGTTTATGAAGTTAGGTGCTGTTCTGAGCATCATTTGTGGCAATAGAGTGGCTTTTTGTTTGAGGTTTGTTTATGGCTCCTCAGACCGCTGTGTATTGCTATCGTGCGGTCGTTACTAAAGTCGGTATAACTAGAGAAGCAAGCGGTCGACAACATTCATCTCTCAGGGGGTGTCTAACTCTGTGTTATGGTGTGCTTGACCCTAAATTAATTTTACGCCGGAATATCCTTTTAAGGGGTTTCAGTATTGTGTCCATGCAAATGAGGCCACAGCAGGGGTCATCTGAGGGGGAACTTTTTTTTAAACGCACTGGATGTCGAGGTAATTTCTTACATTTAACAGTTTACATTCATATTTAAGAAAACACGTGATTTTGAACGACGCAGACAAAGACTGCTCTCTCTCTCTCTCTCTCTCTCTCTCTCTCTCTCTCTCTCTCTCTCTCTCTCTCCTCATCCTTACATCTCGACCACTTCAGTCTGTATCAGAATCGAGGACGAGGCTGGCAGCAGCGCAGATCTCATCCTACCCTGTGGACCCCCCAGTCTGTCCCCTATTTCTCTGCATCGACGAGGCGCTTCAAGCAACTTTCACATCCGTTTAATGCTTTCCTCTTTTTCGATCATGAATCCACAGGGGGAGAGAAAAAAACGACCAAGTGAGCACCAGTAACGTAAAGGTAAGGCTCATTTTCGGTCGTTTTTCGGTTGCGTTATTAGGTTTTGAAAAATCGAGATTAGTTTGATTTTATTTAACTAGTGCTTGAACAACCTTAATCTCTTTTAAATTCACTTGAGCTATAGATGGATGAATCATAAAGTACTCATACTTGAAAACTGGGTTACACACATGATTTAGCGGTGTGATGGATATAATATTGAGTTCAGGTGAACTCCAACAGCGCACCTCATTTATCCTCTTTCCTTGAATTGGCAGTGTCTTAAGCATGAAATATGACACCGTAATTAACCTTTTAGAGGAACTCGTTACAAAACAGTGTGTGTGAGACCGATTATTCCCGACAGACACTGGTTGATGAGGATGATTTGAAGCGTAATAATGGGGCTGTGAAGGCAATAGTGCATCCCTCCACAGGGGTAATCTGCTGTTTCAGTGCATGACAAATGTGCCTTGTCCCCTCACTAAAGAGTTTCTATATCATCCATGACCAACAGAAATTTTCTTTTGCCACCAGCGGGTCTGTGGTTCTCTCAGGCTGAACGACATCATTTAAACACAATCAGGAGTCATTTCTTCACTGCAGGGAGAAGTTAATAGGTCGTGAGTGCCCTTGCAGCACATAGCTTCTTGAGATAGAAAGATACCATGTAATGATAATAAAACACATGACTTAAAAAAAAGAAAAGCTTTCTTTTGCAAAATGTCCTTTAATCAATCTGCTCATTGCACTTGTTGAGTCCACCTAATGAAAAACACATTCAAGGTTTGCTTTGGACAATTAAATCATGCTTTTCCGCAAAGATGGGGTTATATGTGAACACAATGGGATATCTCCTCTCAAACAATTACCACCAAAAATGTGATTAAATACATCAAACTGAAGTACTTCTTGTCAATCTAGTGTGGAGTGTAATGTTTGTGATTGAGGCTGCAGGTTGACATGGACAGAATTACTAAAATGTGGAAGAAAGTGCAGAGAGTGACAGCAGTTATTATAGCAGGGGTTCTTAATAAACTGACACAACAAGAAAAATCACTGCCTCTGTAAAGTTAGACTCCCCCCCCCCCAACACACACACACACACACACACACACACACACATACACACAGATTTATTGATGCTACAGCTACAGGCAGCTTGATGTGAGCAACTCTCCAGTCCAAGACACAATCTCCAAGGGTAAATTGGAGTTTTTCATACCTAATTAGTGCTATTGCTTATTAACAGCAGATGCTGTAATTACAGAGCAGACCAGCTCAGATATTTGCATTAGGTAAAATACATTAATTCTATGCTAGCTGAAATAATAGTTATCTGAGTCAGTACCATTTTAAATGGATTTTTTAATTGAGTCATTAAGAGTCAAATAAATAGAGTTATACCATTTAATTCAATACGTAACGGATAAGTAACACTTATCTGTTTTATTCTGTAGATCATAACAGGATTTATATCAAACACAAGCCAGCAACAGTTGATAAACTGCAAAATTAAGATGGGAGAAAGCCTGTTATTTGAGAGGATCATTTTGGAGGATGTTAACTGGACAGCAGCCACACTGACAAGGCTGCCTGCAGTGTCTGCAGATATTTTTGCTTAACTTATTTATTGACAATATGAGCACAGGCATTTACTAAAATGCTATCAACTGGCCTGATCATAAGCCTCAGCTAATCAATCTGTGTTTTAATTCTCAGTATTATATTGTCACACCATACTTTGCAGGTGTGTACTCTCTCAAAGTAACTTCTGTGAAATAAAGCTCCTGCAAATACTCAGGACAGGATACAACAGACCGGCCTTAAAAGTGTAATCAAAACCACATGTGTTTCTGTGATAACGGATGAAATTTTAGGTTTCTCACAGCCATTTTTTGTGAGAAAAAGCGAATACTAAAACATGGAGAAAACAAATCAATTTTACAGCCCTGGTTAGAAAAAAATACAAAGATTACTGTCACTTTAGCGAGCAACATGGTGAGTGTAATATGCTCAGCAACATGACAAAAATGTCACAAAAGTGTTCGATAGTGAATCAAGAAGCTGTCTCAGACATGTCACTTTGATAAATAACACTTTTAACAAGACAAAAAAGCATAATTTTAGATTTTTTTACCATGAATCTACCTACAGCGGAGACAGGCACAGATCTCCAAACTTAGGAAAGAAATGTTATTTACTGACACTAATGTGAAGACTGATGACTGTGCAAGTCCAAGACAAAGTTCCCGAGGGTGACCTCCTGTGTTGCACCAAAAAGTGTCACACTGAACGGTGTCCTATCGTGACGTGTCATGATATTTTGTGATGTCTCTTGTTGCATTGTCCTGTCATAAACCATCTCAATTCATGCTGCGTTTCGTGTGTGAACATAACCCAAAATAGAAGAAGCCTTGACTACAGCAGCTTTACCTCCTCTAGTATTTTTCAAGGGCTCTCTTTACTCCCTCTCCGTACTGCAGTAACTGTTAAAAATTTGAATTGCCGGTTCAAGTGGGGCACAGCAATCACAGGAGTGGCAGGTTTGTTTTCATCAGGCTTTTCTGCATCCCCCAGTGTCTGAAACAGGTGTACGAGCTACCCCTCAGTGCCTGCATAAGACTGGGCTTTCATCTTATTGTAATGTAAGCCCATGAGGAGGGAGACGAGATGTGCAGAGAAACTGCTTTGTGATGTTGTTTAAAGATAATTAAAGTCAGTTTTAGGCTGTGGTGTGGGCTGATGACTTAAAGTCTTGCCCCAAGGGACCTGGGTTAGAGTAAATTATCCATGGAGTTCTTCCAAACCATTCACACAGCACTGAAAGTGACAAAAAAACACAGCCTCCTTTAATTACCTGTTGGTGTGCCTCTTAGATTGTAAACCGTTTGTGAAACATTTTCAATTTACACAGTTAATATATAAAAGAGGACCTATGCCATCATTCAGCTTCTGCTCTCATCCTCTTTACCCTTTGGAGCCACACCAACATTTCTAACTCACCATGTTTATCCAACACTGTGGAGGATGTGAGTTTATGTAAATTTAACCTTAGTCTCTGGGGAAAATGAGGATGGAGTATCATGCAAATCCCACAAGAGGACACAAGTGAGCCGTGGGAAAATATGGGTGCCTTTATTAGTCAATAGTGAAATTGCATTATGAAGAAGGCAGGAACAGGTAGTGGCAGCTGGGAAAAGTCCCACTATATTAAAAATAGTACAAGTACAAGTACTTTTACTCCAAGGAGCGAAATTTAGATGTAGAATGATTGTGACAAAGTGTAGATAGGAATGGAAAAAAATGTGTAAAAATCTGGATCATGAAAATTTAGAGTAGAAACTTTCACATCTCCTTTGACGAAAATAAAAAATGTTTTTCCCTAAATGATTTAATTTTTAGAGCAGCATCATTGAGATATCAGTATTGTAAAGCTGCTGAACTTAGAGTTGTTTAACATACTTACATTTTGTTATGAGGAGAAGGGGCAGTCATGAAATCAGCTTTCCATCTCATGATATCGTGATAACAGTATTATCGCAATATTTATGTTAGACCCAGAGAAGCATGAACTCAGATATTGTTTCTTGATTCATAATAGATCTTGAAAATCATCTTTAAAAGTGCCATATCATTTTTTAAAGAGCTGCTGCAGCTAGCTCACTTGGGCTACTTCTTCTTCGTCCATCCTCTGTTTTATTACAACCAACGTAAACAATCACGACTATTTACTCATTGTGTTACTGTAATGCTTATTTTTTTCAATAAATCATTTAATTAAAAAGACAGTTATTGTCAATATCCAGCCCTATGTGGAGCAAACGAATAAAACTCTGGAGATAAATTACATTTGGAATTGCAGCAACAAGAGAAGTGAAAAAAATAAGAATAAATAAAAACTTTTTGTACCAAAAAAGAGTTCTACCTTCAAGAGTTCCCACCACCAGTTTTACACAGTCCTAAAGTATTTTGAGAATCTGCTCAGATAGATGCATCACTAAGACATTTGTGAAGGCCAAACAGTGTTAAAAATTCTCAAAATTCCCCATGCCCACACCATCAAAGGGGCCCTCCAACAAATCAAACTAACTTCTTTTAACTCAGTCAGTTTTGCTGAGCTGATTCAAAAAGTACTGTATGATTCACTGTGTCAGCAGGTAAAACTCTACTTTTGCAAGTTTAGTGAGTGTCAGCCATTGTACAACCACTGGGACCAATCAGACTAACCTAAAAGAAAACTTGATCATGTACAAAATCTGTTTTATATTTTAACACGTTTTTATGCCCTGACAATGAGCTCTTGACACTGAGTCTATCTTTTGTCTTAATTGTTGCTCTTATGTCTCTAAACTTGCTCTTATGACCACATTATGAGACTTAGGGCTCTATTTTCGTGTACGCCGGTGAGGCGACGGAGGGTGACGGACCCCGGGCAGTTGTATTTTAGTCTGGGGGAGCCCGGCGTACAGCCAGTTTGGTATTTTCATGGATTGAGGCCCACGGAGGCGAGCTGAGATCCGCCAAGCTGGGCGTGGTGGCGTGGCAGGGGGAGGTGTCGACAGAATCAGCTGGCGCAGTGACATTTTCGTGCTCGCCAGTGGCGTACAAAGTGCGCTGAAAGCTCGCCGATTCAAACCTGGTCAGCTTTCAGTGCAAGCGAAACGCAGCTGGTCTAGTGGTATTATGGTAGACCGGCGGCGTATCGGCATACGTCACCGATGCCTCACCGACAGGTTTCCACAGTGTCAGGAACATTTCAGTGCAATAAATAATCATCAACAACTATTAATCTGAGTAAGCACATACATTTAGATCTATATAGATATATTCTGATCTATATCTGATCTGATGAGCACGTTTGGCACGCGCTTGGACACACAACCTGACCGAATCAACACAGCTGAAACCGCATTAAATTAAATGAAATTAAATTAAATTAAATATCTAGTAAATAAACACACATGATGAAGTTAACAAGATGTGCGATTCGTCTCCCTCCTTTTCTTTCTTCCTCTTATTTCTTGCGCAGCTCGACCTGGACATATCTCCGTGTCCTCTCTCTGTCCTGCTGCAGCAGCGGCTGAACAGATGATTAGTTTCAGCGTTCAGATGAGTTATTTACTTTAAGCCTACATGCGGATATTATAATATTCAGTTTTGTGAGCCAAAATTATTTTATTTGCCAACATCTATGAAAGAAACAGCCAGGCCAGGGAGCGTGATGCGTCATTTACGCACAGATGGTTCCGATTTTAATGCCATTTATGGAGTTTATGTTGTGATCTATGCGCACAACCCACCTTTGTCACGTGAGGTTTGAATATATGCAACTTTATGTGAGTGTCTTTATTTGTGGAAAAGGGTGTTTGTCTTACCAGTGGGTCCAACATTACACACACCAAATCCATCTGTGCTCAGATGAGAGAGTGTGGAGGACGCCCAATGCAGCGCTTACAGTGACACTTGTTGAGGAGCTGCCTTCTGTCGCCGTCATGTGGCATTACTGTCTTCAGACATCTCTTGATCTCTTTGACTACTTCACGAAAATAGTAATACGTCTCGCCGGTGATGGATTTAAAGGCAAGGAGAGGAGCTTATGTGATTGGTGAAAACAGGTCTCGGCTGTGTTAAACCCACTCCACGCCCTCTCTCCTCCCTCGCTACGATTTACGCCGGCGGGAGGAGCTGAGTTAGGGAGGGGGGATACTTACGCCGGGCTGCGCCGCCCACCGAAATACCAAATTGTGCTTGGGAACGCCTTGTCGGCGCGGCGGACCTGACTTACGCCGCGCCTGCGGCACGCCTCCGGTGAGGCACGAAAATAGAGCCCTTTGTGAGCTGTGCAAGATGGTGGCAAACTCACAGAGGTAAAAAGCCCTCATATATTTACTCCCTTTGAACCCCTTCTCAAGCCTGGATCTGAATAAGAAATAGGAAGTTTTACTTTGACAAGGAAACTTGTCAGAAATGAAATGTGTATGTTATTGAATTGAGCTTTTGTGAAGTTTGGATTAAGCAGTGATTGTCAGGAGTTATAGTTGCTGCTGCTTTGATTTCCACAGCCGACTTCTTTTCACCTTTTCGCACTCAAAATTAGTGAGTCATTATTATTCGAAATACACTTGAAAGTCGGAAGACTTATTCTAACTCAAGGGCAAATCCCAGCAGAGCTGTTACAGCATCAAATCTGGAATGAAAAGAGTACTGGCTTACCTAATAACTCTCTCATTGTTCACACTGATACCTGTTCAAACCATAGACTGTATATACTATGGACAACTTGGTTCCGCCTCCCGCCTGTATACAGATTTGAAGCCAAAAAGCTCTCTGTATTATCCAGCAAGGAGGCGGACGGTGTCCATTCTATATACAGTCTATGGTTAAAACACAAGGAGGAGCTGCAGCTCTGCTTTGACCACAAATCACTCCATCACACCACCATTTTACCTGCTATCAATTAAGGACTAAATTTATAGTGTGTGTGCACAAAAGATAAAGGTATTGCAAAATCTAAATCTGGAGACAGTATCAAATTTAGTACATCACCCACCACCACTCTGTAGCTTTGGGCTGGATTTAGCAAATGCATAAAAAAATAGTGATTCCACCAGAACATATCTGTACTTGAGTGGAACAAAGAAGTTTATTTGCTGTCAGGTTCATGTTGAGACAAGAGGATTGTTGGTCAAATTTGCAGTTACAGTTGTTTTTGGACTGCATAAACACTAAAATCAAAAGTCTTATACAATTATCCAAGGCTCACACTGAAAAAGCAAAACACCGGACCAGATTAGCACAACCATAAGCACAATATCAGCTTCACACTTTTTGCAAACCACTGCACACAGTGAATTGCAAAACACTAAATACGCTTGTATACATTAGACACAGATGCATACCATGATGTCACTTCCTTGCAAATTCCAAAGCACTGACTTTCAAATGACCACACTCATTAGCCAATTGATTAAACACAACACAGCACCAAAACATGATTGCTTAATTGTAGACACACCAATCAGGTTCAAGCACTACAAAAAGGTAGGTGCCCCTAATCCAGGCCATGGAGGAGGCCTGTGACCAAATTGATGCTATAGCCATTCAACAAAGATGGATTGGACATGCATGGCAGTTCTTCCCTCCTTGTCTTGCTAATGAAGATAACACCTGTGATGTTGTTGAAATTCTCTGGCCTGATCCAGCTTGGTGAAAAGATAATCCCTAAAATATCCCCTGCTGGATTTTCTTTTCTTTTTTGTCAGTTTTTTACCCAAATCTTTTTATAGTAATTTTTTTTTGTTTGTGTGTGTAATTTTATTTTATTTTTTAGAGTTATGCACACTACTGTTGTAGCATGGACATCTTTTGTTGAACATTTGACTGATTTAGGTATATATAGAGATATAAATTATATGTTCATCATTCTGCAGCATTGGTCTTGTTATGCATTTGGTGAATTTTCTGTATTGTATATTTGGACTTTCTCTGTGTACTTCACTTACATTTCTCAAATCACTGAGAAGTAGAATTGCTACAAGTGTTTTAGGTTTAACACAGCAGGGTGTAACTGGTTCAGACAGAATTAAGTCATTGTGTGTAGTGTAAGCACGTGTGTAGTGTAAGCACGTTTTTGATTAGAGGGCTATGACATTGTGCTTATAGTTGTGCTAATCTGGTCTGGCATTTTGCTCCTTGAGTGTAAGGTTTTGATAATTGTGTAAGACTTTTGATTTTAGTGTTTATGCAGTCCAAAAAAACTGTAAGCACTTGAAAAAAACTGTAAGTTTCAGAGATTTCCCAGAAGTTAACAGATATTGGTTGAAGTTGTGTGAATTCAATGGTATCATCCCAACTTTCTTGAAAGACTAACTTTTGTTCTTGTCAACTTTTAAAAATTTTTAAGCCTTCAGTGTGAAAACTATGATGTTGCTAGTTGTGAGGATATGTTTCTTACAGGTTAAGTCTAAAAGTGTAAAATTTTAATAAAAACGAGAAAGAAAAGTTAAGTTTGACACCAGTAGAAATCTTCATTGAGCCTTTTATGAAGCTAAATTGTCTGATAGCATTTTAAAGTAAATCTGTTTTTTTTTTTCCACTTTATAGAGGGCCTCCAGTGTTGAATAAACCCACAGGAGAATCGCAGCAGGATGTGTTGACATCGCCTTTGGCTCCCCCAGTTTCCCCTGAAATGGAGCTCTTTTTGCAGGGCTTAAATGCATCCCACAACATCAGCATGCTAACCAACGCCACTTGGAATTACACCAGTGACCAAGTCACTGAAGTCAACCTTATTGACATTTTGGGTCCAAAACGATCCCCTTTCTTCCTCCCTGTGACTATTGTTTACCTCCTCATTTTCCTCGTTGGCTTGTCTGGGAATCTGCTAACATGTGCCGTGATAGCAAAGCACAAAAAGATGCGAAATCCCACCAACCTCTACTTGGTGAGCTTGGCGATGTCGGACCTCTTGGTGCTTTTGTTTGGGATGCCACTGGAGATTTACGACCTTTGGCAGAACTACCCATTCCCGTTTGGCGAGGCCGGGTGCTACTTTAAGACCTTCCTCTTCGAGACAGTCTGCTTTGCTTCAATACTCAACGTCACCGCTCTGAGCGTGGAGAGGTACATCGCCGTAGTGCACCCGCTCAAAACTCGCTACCTGTCAACCAACCAGCATGCTAAGCGGGTCATCACCATCGTGTGGGTGGTATCGATGACCTGTGCCATTCCAAACACCTCACTGCATGGCATTTTTTACCTACCAGAGAAGATGGAGGAGTCAGCCATTTGCACCGTGCTGAAGCCTCTGTGGATCTATAACATGCTCATGCAGATCACCACTGTTTGCTTCTTTTTTGTGCCCATGATGGTGATTAGCATCCTGTACCTGGTGATGGGGCTACATTTAGGCAGAGAAAAGCGGCAACCAAGCAGGAACTTTGGGAAGAACAGCGGCAGCTTCACACGAAAGAAGAACAGCGTGATGGGACGAAGACGACAGGTTAACAAAATGCTCTGTGAGTATTTTTCTTATTCTCTCCTTCTCTTTTGAAAAAACTAGACACACAGCGGAGGTCTGCCAAGATCTCAGAGTAGATCCTCTCTAATCTCTGTTGTCAATGCCAAGGCATGTTTGCAAAGATAAAGCACGAGGAAAACACAAAGCAAATAATGACAGAGGATGGGCACTTCTTTGTTTGGATCATTTGTATTCTGAAGGGCATCTGATTGTTTTTCATCCTCTAAGCTTCAGGGTTTAATGAAAAGTCGTGTGCAGTTTCTTTACAATTGATTTGTTCTTTTGTCTGCTGTCAGGAGACTTAAATGAAACTATATTTAGTTTAGATGGATGCATCAATCAAATCATTCATCCACCACATGAAGCTAAATAACAGCCAGTTTTCATATCCAGTACACTCATCTGAAAAACAACCTCTTTATAGGGAAGTTTTTCTTTCTTTGAATGAGTTAAAGTTTCACATCAAGGTGATATTATGAACCAAGGTAAGAGCAAAAGTGTTTGTTTTTTTTCAGGAGGGGGGCCTCAGGTATTTCTTGAATAAAAATTAAGAGTACGTCAACGTGCCTTACTTCTGATTCTTGGCTCCATAACCAATAAGGCAAACCTTGATGTAGGGTGAATGAAGAACTATATTTCAAAATAAGGCGCTAGCTTTTGTCAGATGTAAATCAGAGACATGCAGGTGCTTGATTTGAGTCCTTGCTTGTTAAACCATTAAGTGCATTCTTGTCAGTCTGTCAGTGTATCATGTTGAAATATTTGATACCTTTGGTGACTAATCAACCTCACCCTTGCAACTCTATAACATCCAGATTCTTTGTTTTTAATGTTTTATTCATGCAAAGTCTTTGCAACCTTAAAAATCAGCCGTGTCTTAAATTCTGCATCCTGAAGACCTGATGTTTTCCAGATTATTTTAGGACTTATCAGTAGAGGTTGTCTTTTGAGGGCCTAAATAGATACTGTTAATAGTTCATGATATCAAGAACTGATATTTGGAACTGAAATGCGTGAACAATAAGAATAAAATACTGGACCGATTGTGGGTCTGGGCCAACTGTAAAATCCAACAATTGATTGATCACCTTTACCGATAGAGTCAACTAATTGACGACCACTTGAGCTCTGCTGTCAGTGTGTCCTTTCTTCAGGGTCTGTCTTCACTCTGTCATTTTATCTCACCTAATGTCCCACCTACAGCACTATATGATTGTCTAGATGTCACATGACCTTGTGATGTGACTGTAAGCATAAGTGGTCAACTGGTTATCCCTGTAGTTGATCTTGAAAATAATAATTTTGCTGAATTTCTGCCTCAGATTCACCTCTTTGCCTGATTTCATGTTAATTGAAAGTTGAGTCAGCATTTCCAGTATGGTGCCTGCATGATTGGAATTCAAAACATCTCCCTATAAAACCAATGGCGATTACGTCACAAAGACTGTCTTGATTATTGAAACAGCCAATGCACACACCTTATAGTGAGAAATTGCTGGTGCAACAGTCTCACCCATCTGTTTGTGCAGCAGTATTTCTTGTTCTCAAACTTTTGTTCATTCATATGCATAAGGTTACTTTGACTGTGAGGGGATCGCAGAGGATAATATGGGATATATATATATATATGGTATATATATATATATATATATATATATATATCTTAATTATTACATTTATTAAGTTCTTAATATTAGGACCCTTATTGTTATAACTGCATTTTGCACTTTCTGTCTTGTCTGTGATGCTGCTGTGACAAAAAAAATTTCCCCCATGGGGGATCAATAAAGGAATATTCTATTCTATTCTATTCTATTCTATATATAAGAGTTATGGTGCAGTGCTTTTCAAGGTATGAACAGTGAATAGGAGTGTCCTGCACAGACAGATCTAAAGCCGCGTTCAGATCAAACGCGACTTGAAGCAACCTAGTCGCATTGGTCGCTGTAATCGCGTCGCGCCCTGGTGTGTTCACACCAGGTCCAAAGCTGCAGACGCGGCTGGTCGCAGGACGCGGCTGGTCGCAGGACGCGGCTGGTCGCCGCTGGTCGCCGCTGACCTGCTTCTCCCACCTTCCTTCTCCCTCCTTTTCTCCCTCATGTAGACATCCTGCAGCCCCTTCCAGCGCTTGCGGCACACATCCACTGCAAAGACACACATACACACACACACACACGTTGAAACATGTAGCCTAGCAAGCAGGGTCAGTTTGCTATGTTTTCAGAAAATAGTCTGCTCACTGAAATAAATAAACAAACAAACTTTCCAGAAAGCCCGATATCACTGGCCACCTTCGCCCATGCTTCCTCCTTGGAGATGCGGTCCCGGTAGAATGCGCACCCCACGTCGTAAAGGACCGGGTGATAACTCACAGCAGTGATAAGCTGCTCCTCCATGGTGATTCTTCTTCTCCTCCTCCTTGCTTCGCAGGTGTGTTGACGTCAGCAGAGCCCTGATGGCTGTCGCGGCCCGGAGTCGTGGAAAGTTGCGACTCCGTGGGAGCGCCGTGACTTGGCGTCCTGCGATCTCGGGCTACGCGACGTTGGCGAACCTGCGTGTACTGGTTGCGTAGGTCGTGTCGCCGGCAGCCGGCGGTCACCAAGTCGCATCAGGTCGCGGCTGTACATAGACTTTGCATTGGTAGGCGTTGCTCAAGTCGCCGAGGTCGCGTTTGGTCTGAACGCGTCTTTGGAGGTGTGAGTTTGAGTATGAGTATGTGTGTACATGACATGATTGACTTAAAGCCAGTGTGGATGGACAGGGCTGACAATCACTGGACTAATAATGTGCAGGGGGAATACATCATGGAGCACTGAGGCGTCCTTTAATTTCATTCATTTCTTGGACCGTTGGGGTTTGGAAATAATGTGTGTTCTTACTGTACAGGCTCAAACAGGCTGCTGAGTAAATGAGCTCTCAGTCCATTGACATTTTTTCAGTCTTTTGGGATTTGGAAATAATGGGCTGTCAGAACAATAGTATGGCACTGGGACAAGATGATAGAGAAAAGATGATAGAGAATACAAATGTAGTGCTGTGTAACAGCATGGAATAAGATTATTTTACAGACTTATAGAATGCTAAAAGGCAAAAAGTGCTTAACAAAAGCTCAGGTAGAGAAAAACTCACAAACTCAGCTGTTTTGAAAAAGGAAAGAAAGTACATCACCGATGTACTCATTATTGATGCCTTTTTTTGTTGTTGGAGAGTTTGAGATGCCTCCATGTGCCTAAGGAAGCTAAAACTGTGAGTTTGATGCCATATGGCTATAATCATCAACAGCCAAACAGCCTGCATCTCCTTTAGAGAGAGATCCTGAGAGCGCAGAGCGAGGATTAATGAGAGAGATCAGACAGCAGCTCCTGAAGACAAACAGATAAAGAGATAGATAGATAGATAGATAGATAGATAGATAGATAGACTGATATAGTGCCTTGAAAAAGCATTCATACCCCTTGAACTTTTTCACATTTTGTCACTCTACAACCACAAACTTAAAAAGTATTTTATTGAAATTTTTGGTTATAGACCAACACAAAGTAGCACATAATTGTGAAGTGGAATGAAAATGATACATGGTTTTAATAAATTTCAACAAATACAAATCTGAAAAGTGTGGTGTGCATTTGTATTCAGCCCCCTGTACTCTGATACCCCTAAATAAAATGCAGTGCAATTAATTGCCTTCAGAAGTCACCTAATTGGTTAATAGAGTTCACTTGTAATTTAGTATCAGCATAAATACAACTGTTCTGTGAAGGCCTCAGTGCTTTGTTAGAGAACACTAGTCAACAAAGAGCATCATGAAGACCAAGGAACTCACCAGACAGGTCAGGGAAAAAGTTGTGAAGAAGTTTAAAGCAGGGTTAGGTTATAATAAAATATCAAAAGCTTTGTACATCTCAAGGAGTACTGTTCAAGCCATCATCCAAAAATGGAAGAAGTATGCTACAACTGCTAACCTACCAAGACATGTCCATCCACCTAAACGGACAGACCGAGCAACGAGAGCACTGGTGAGACAAGCAGCCAAGAGGCCCATGGTCACTCTGGAAGAGCTGCAGAAATCCACAGCTCATCCCCGCTGTGAAACACGGTGGTGGCAGCCTCATGCTGTGGGGATGCTTTTCCTCAGCAGAGACAGGGAAGCTTGTCAGAGTTGATGGGAGGATATTCATGTGTTAGAATGGCCATGTCAAAGTCCAGACCTAAATCCCATTGAGCATCTATGGCAAGACTTGAACTTGAAAAGTTCACAGACGCTCTCCATCCAATCTGGCTGATCTTGAGCTATTTTGCAAAGAAGAATGGGCAAAAATTTCAGTCTCTAGATGTGCAAAGCTTGTAGAGACATACCCCAAAAGACTTGCAGCTGTAATTGCAGCGAAAGTTGGCTCTACAAAGTATTGACACAGGGGGTCTGAATACAAATGCACACCACACTTTTCAGATTTCTATTTCTTTAAATTTTTGAAAACCATGTATCATTTTTGTTCCACTTCACAATTATGTGTTACTTTGTGTTGGTCTATGACTGAAAAATCTCAATGAAATACTTTTAAGTTTGTGGTTGTAGAGTGACGAAATGTGAAAAAGTTCAAGGGATATGAATACTTTTTCAAGGCACTGTAGATAGATAGATAGATAGATAGATAGATAGATAAATAGTGAGCATGTCATTATACTATGATTAAGTACTAACTGTGGCCATATAACGGAGTTATAGACAGCTTTGGTTTCTCCATTCAAAAGTATCATCTCTGATATCAGGGACTTGCCAGACTTCAACTATGACAAGGGTGGCCCAGCAGGGGCACTGGCTAAACTTTTTACCTCCACTAATCATATCCACTTAGACTAATAACATTAAAGAAAGCCTACTATACCCATTTTCAGCTTTCATTATGTCAGTATAGGACACCCGTAGAGTAGCTTTGCTTGATTTGCAGCTTTAAAACCTCCTTTTTTACGTAATACTGACATCAAGCACCCTTTAAGTCAAGTGCGTCTTTTTTGCCACTGTACTTTTAGTCATAAAGTACACTCTTTATTATTTATTAATAATGCATGTTTATGCCTGATCTTCTGTCTAGATAAGTCTATTTGTGGTGCCTTTTCCTTCTTTGTCCCTGTGTCTTTTGTTGTGTACATCTCTCTTTTGTGCCCATGAAGATGGAAAAGGGTTTATTTCAAAGTAAATTTCTGTAACAATGTGCCAGGTGTAAGTCTTTCTGTGCTTCCACCCATAACCCCAGTGTTGTATTTGATTTCCCTAGAAAAACTGACAAAGACATTGAAAATACACAAACACATTCAAAGGGAAAAAAATGATTTTCTCTCTGTTTGATCTTTCAGCAATTGTTGTAGCTGTGTTTGGGATCTGCTGGGCACCTTTCCACATCGAGCGGCTCCTGTGGAGTTCCATCAGCCAGTGGACGGACTTGATGCACAACATTTATCAGTACGTCCACATCCTGTCAGGCGTCTTCTTCTACCTCAGCTCAGCAGCCAACCCCATCATCTACAGCCTCCTCTCCACCCGCTTCAGGGAGTGTTTCAGGGAACTGGTGTGTTCCCAAGCTGAGGACAGCAGCTCTGTCAGAGACTCACCGCCGTTCCCTAAGATTTTACTGGATGCAGATCCAGTGTCAAGCTCCAGATCTCAGATTGATGGGAAGCACTCAAATGCTGTAATCCCTCTGCTGTCTCCTGACATGACTCTGAGCATGGACTCTACGATTCTCACATGTGCATGTGACGAGACAACCTGCAGGACCTCAGTGTTTTAACTGAGAGTTGTTTAAATAAGCTGAACAAGAAGCAACACAGACAGTATAATTTGAAGGAAAAGCTGGACATTTGAGGGAAATCTACTCATTTGATCGCTTAAAAAGTCAGATAAGAGGACAGACCAGCAGCAAACTCTGGTGCTGAAAGTGAAGCTAGTGTGAAGTGCAAAAACTGCAGTTCTTCATTTGTCCACTAGAGGGTGGCTTCGAAAGTGGATGAAAACTCCATCAGTTCATTAGAGTTCATGCATTTGTTCTGACCCTAGCTGCTTCTGTGTTCATGTCTAGATTGGTCAAAGTTAGTCGGAGTCAGTATAGCTGCTATTGTGGGCTCCAGAAATCACTTGGTGAGACTATGACGACAAATAGCTAGTACTTCAAATATATATTTATATGACACGATAAACCAGTCCTTTTCAATTAGGGAGGATTAGGGCCAAATTTAGAAAGAAAAATATTAAGATTTTGAAATTGAAGTGTAAGTGTCACATCATAATACAGTCCACTTATTGTCAGCTGAAGCCATCTGTAGACAACAGAAGTTAAAAACATCAGTTGCTGTTTGTTTGTGATGCTTAAAGTCACAATAATAAAAGAAAAAAAAAGCAATATCAAGAGATTAAAGTCATAATGTAATTAGTATGTCATAAGGATTAGAAAATTAAAACTAATTACAACTCTATTCTCTTAACATTTTGACTTTGTTCTTGAGATCTGAAGTTGTTTTTCTCCATGGTGCCCCTAACATGCTTTCTACACTCTCTAATCAACTTTAAATCTCTCAGTTTATTGATTGTAGCAGTTGGCAAAGTACACACATTTTGAATTGAAAATATTTGGCTAAACATATTAAATTGCATTTCCCTGTTTCCAATAGGCTGATTTTCAATCATGTCCAAGTGGACAGCCCAGGTCAAGTTTAGCTGCAGGAAAACATTAGATATTTAATACTTTAGAAATATTTTTTATACTGCAGACAAAGCTGACTGATGTGTAGGCAGCCATTTGAGAGTGTTAAAAAATTGATGAGGGGCTGCGTGTATCTCCACTTGAACAGACCTGGGTCAGTCCAACTTTGCAGAAAGTCTAGAAACCAGAAGAAGCCTGACCGTGAACCTTAGAAAAAATAATGACACATCGGGCCATATTTTTGTAAAAACAACTTCATGCTTAGTGTCCAAGTTTTGGACAAAGCAAATGCTCTTGTGGCCATGATACGATATGATATGATATGATATGATATGATATGATATGATATGATACAATACTATACTATCTTAGTTTCTTATTACTTTCTTATTGTCAGGGTTTTGAACTTATCTTACCTCTCACCAGCTCTATTTATGACATAGAGAGCAGGGTACAAAAGACACGCATTGGAAACAACATTTGAAAAATTAACCATTACATTCGGAGGCCTTTTAGGTACTTTTGATCTGAGATTCATCTCCTTATTTCAACCATATAAATTGATTGGTATACAACAGAGTGCTGCAGTCTGATCTGACTAAAATGGAAACCCTGTATCTTAGGTTTTGTTGTAATAATTAATATTCACCTTTCAGAGCATAGTTAGGGACCAGCTTTAACATTTTTTGTTAATGCCTGATTCATACTGACAGTCATTTGTGCTCCTAGGCTTGCTGGTCCTCAAATGAGGTTTGAGATCCCTTATCTTGAGGCAGCAGAACAAAAACAACCTGTTGGCATTCTCACGAAGCTTCTGAGTCGAAAAATATTTTTAAATTATGTTTTCTAAGAATTTCCACCTTTAGAGTATAGCTTTAAAGCTATTCAAAGATGATCTTGGCCTTTAGAATGTTGAGTGGTGAGGTGGAGTTCTGAGAGTGTTAAGTGTTTCTTAAGTGTCTGAAAGCTGGTGAAATCTCAGACATTTTCATTTAACAGTGAAGGAGTTCAATAAATGCCAAAGACCTGATTGTACTGTGATCATCTCCAAGCTAATGAAACAATGTCATGTTGCCAGACATGAGCATGTAGAGTGAGTCCAGATCACACACTGGTACTGATCTGTGATGCCAGCTGCCTAACTTCTAAAAGTATGGATAGCAGTTCATTCAATTAATCAAATACTAATGAATCATTATCTGATCAGATCCTATCATAATATTGATCTGTGTTGGAGAGTCTGAAAAAGGTTGTGAGTATGTGGACTGATTTATTACAGGTGCTGCAGTGTTTTCTTTATGTTTAAATGGTGCATTAATCAAAAAAAACTGGATGCACTGTCACAGGCAGATTCAGCTGTGCAGCTTCGGGTCACGTTTTTGTTTTTATTTCATTTCAGTACATTACTGACATTTCCTGTGTAGTTTCCTGCTTACATTTATCCTTGTCCTTGTCCTCTTAATGTCCCTACCTCTGTGTCACCCTCCCTCTAATGAGCTCCATGTGTGGCCTATTATCCCCTCATTGTTTGTGTGTGTCTATATTTCCTGTGTGTTTACCCTCTGTTGTTGTGTGACCTTGGTCCAGCATACTAACTTGAGAGTTTCCTAGAATTATAATTACTGCCTGTCATATTTTTTTTTTATTATTTGTTCTTTCAGGGTAGCAGTGAGGCAGAAAATATGCACTTGAACATGGCAGCAAAGATCAGATATCTTGCAGTACAAAAGCTTTAAAATTGGAGAAGTGGCTTGTGCTTTCAATGTGCAATGGCAACAGGCAGTGATCAGCTGTCATACTCCCCCGTAAACTGCACAGCAAATGATATGGGGCCAGGCTGAATTCAGCTCAATGTTACAATCAGCCATGCAACAATAAAAATCAGGTCAAAACTGTCTCAAGGTTATACCTTGTCTGCACAAAATGATAAATTAAGACATTTATGAATCATTATGAATCTCCTCTGTTGCACCCACTAATTACCTTGAACAGGCAGGCTGTAAATTCTGGAAATAAACATGAACAACACTTAATTAGCATTCCAGTAGACAGTTTAATATTGTTTTTACTGAAACTTGAACTAGTTGGTCTGATCCTTTTATCTGATCTGAAGTGCAGACAAAGTGAACAGGTCTTTTTTCCAAAAATGTCGGGCTATTCTTTTAAATTTATGAAACGTCATCAAAATGCTTGTACTTGGGCTTGTTTTATTTTATTTGCTACTTTACAGTGCCTGCATACTCCACCTGCTGTCTTACTCTGTGATTGCTGAATGCCTTGGAGAAAAAGAGGAAGAGTTAAATTAGATCTAAAAGATGTATTTGATTATTTTTGTTTCATTTTGAAAATCTGATGTGGTGCTGGGGCTGTAAAACAGGTCAAATGTTTTGCTTTGTTTGGTGGAGCTTGTTAAAAAACAACAACAAAAAAAACAAACAAATGTAATGCTTTGCTGTGGGCTTTTTCTGATCTTGTTTTGTGTCTTGTTGCACGGTTGGCAATCACCCTGTCCATGAATTGATTGATAGATTGCAAACTCCTGTTGAAAAGTTGAAAAAAAAAATAAAGGATGTGTCTATTATAAAAGCAACACAAATAAATATCAAAACAGTGCTTATATAGCTGTTTTGTAATGTTAAAGCCTGTTCTTGTCTTCTTCGTGGTATAATTGAAGTGTTATGCTGAAGAATTACATTTTCATGATAACATTAGTTTCCTTAGAGCTGAATGACTCTTTGCTGGGATTTTATTCAATAACAAGCTTGAATAACAGCACGGAATAAACATAAAGTCATCTACATGTTTTTCACAGTTTAGCTTACAATACTGCATGAGCCAAATGATTGATCTCCCTATCATCTGTCTGAATAAGCATGTACGTCTGAGCTGGAACAACAATGAATTGCAAGGTTGAATGGCAGTCTCAGTGCAACATAAATAGCAGGATGAGGCAGATAGATTGTTTTTCGCTGCATTGCATTCCCATTTCCTCCTCAGCCTGATGCACTACATGCTTCACAACAAAGCCATTTCCATTTCAATCACACCCTCAGACAGGCAATCAAGAATAATGGGTAATCCCTGCCTCATGGGGGTTATTTTTGTGCACTCAAATCTGCCTTTTTTCCCTTGCAGCAGTCTGACCGCTGCTTTAGCTGGATGGCATGAGAGGTCGTGGCGTTTGGAGTCCATTTTTAGAGATTACCCTGCAAAAAGTCACAGAGGCAACCAAAAGCCTCTCTGTCCTTTATTGCTTCTTACTAGGGAGTCAAATATTTTCTATCTCTATCTGACATTAACAGCAGCCCTGTGTAAACAGTGCTGAAAAGGGTGATGCATATTCACGTTAAACGGGAAAATGTCTCGATTCATCTGCCATTAGCCCATTCGAGTGAAGCTCAGACATTATGAAAGAATCTCTCTCACACCAGAGGAGGATAAATATGAAGAAAGTGACAAGCTCTTCAAAAAAACCTTGGTGGTCCAACAATTAAGAGGATTAAAAAGGTTGTAAATATTTATTTTAAAGACGGCAACATGGGTTTGTTTTTAGCAGCCACTCTCCCTTGTGAAAACTGAAGGACACAAGAGACCATACAATGTGGAGTGGTTCATGTAAAGGCAGGAAAAACACAAGCATTGCACCACCATAATGTGAATGATCATTAAAGAGGCATGACAGAGGAGCCACATAAAGGGGACGGGCATTTTCTACTGACACATTCATCCATTCTCCTTCAAGATGCTCCACATGTCCTTGTCCTTCACAGTTAATCAATCCCTGACAGGTTGAATGACTGACTTTTTCATTTAGTCTTTCAAAAACAACGACCTCCTCTTTGTTTAGAGTTTTTCATACAAATCAAGGAGGCTCCATTTGTCTATAGACTCTGCCTCCCTGCAGATCAGCTTGAGAAAGTTGGCTTGCGGGCAATTCTGACAACATTGTATGTGTTCAGTCCTGGTGCGTCAAATCCAGGGGACAAACCTCGCTTATTAAATGTGTAGAAGTTAAATAGTTGTCCATCTTGCGCCTCTAGAGATACTGATGCTGTGCCAACTCTCAAAACACACGGGTATTCCTTTTCAAACACGACTCTGAACACTCGCTCCACTAGGAAGTTGAGCTTTATTGTCCTGAACTTTTCGGGGATCAGCTCCTCGATTTGAGGCCCAAACTGCTGCATGATCAGGACTCCGTCCTGCCCAGCTTTAATCTCATAGAAGGTGATGTTGCTGTAGGTGTAAAAGCCAACGTAGGGCTCAGGGTTTGGAGGTGGAGAGAGGACCTTTTTAGCCTCCCTGAAGGCCTTCTCTATAGCTGGGATGATGTAGCTGTAGGCTTTGGTGATCACATCCTGGTTTTGGGATCGGCTACCAGCCATTAGCACCACCAGGCCGAGCTTCAGTCTCGGTACGAGGGAGAACGTAGCAGAGTATCCATCTAGATCACCATCTTTGCGCACCATTTCATACCCCAGCAGCTCATTCACCTCCCACGGTGTCCCAGTACGGTTTGCAAAGTAATCCTTATCACACTTGAAGACTGGCATGAGCATAATCTTCAAAGAGTCTGGCTCCAGCAGCTTGCGATGGTAGGCGCCCAGAAGCATCATAGCAAGCTTGGCGAGGTCAGCTGCCGTGGAGTACATCTGACCTGAAGGCCGGTACCAGCCCAGGTCATAAAGTGGGGCTGGTTTCCCATTAGAGTAAACTCCCACAGCCATCTGGGTCTGCAGCCCTGGAGTGATGTCAAAGCTGGTGTCCTCCATGCCCAGCCGGTCCAGGATGTTGTCTGTGATCCACCGCTGGTAGTCGACAGAGGCGATTCGCTCAGCCATCACGTGAGCCAGCAGAGAGAAGGCCAAGTTACTGTAGTGACATCTGGAGGAAAAGTGAGGAGAGAGTGTCTTAATCCATTTTCGTTAACCCCAAAGTTTGGAGAAAACGTGCTGCAGCTCTATTTTGCAGAAAAAAAATGTAGTTTTGGAGTTAGGTGCATTAACCTTCTCCCCCGTGTTTAAAGGAATGGTGAATACCACTCTATGCCAGGGACGTCACCAGACACTTTTTACAAGGGCATGTACCTAGGTAAACATGCGCTATGCCTTTCTGTAAAATTCTCAACAAAATTTCATGAATGGGTCTGTTTTTCATCACAGTCAGTTTATGATCACAGAATAATATCCGTACCCCTGTGCTATGACTGACGAATTTTTGTTGGTGCCTCTTGTGAACAAACCAGTCTTTGCTTGTTTTGTCCTCTACATGCAATATTAGTGTCTTCTGGCTAGAGAACTTCACCCTAATAACTTTTGACAGTCAAATGTTGTTTGTTGTGAATATTTTATGTGGAAGCTGCTTAGCTGATTCCATCTGATTCACACAGATTTCAGTCAATATATAGATCATCTTTCATGTTGCTGATCCTGTTTACTTTCGGCTATCATAAAAAGGCATCAATATAGACATCAAAGGGTGGGGGTTTAAATAATGAAGAAACATAGTTAGTCTTACTTGGTGCCTGGGTCAGCCACGAGGACGTCATCCTGCAGCAGATTGATTGCAGTTTGTGTTTTTCCTTTCCACAGCAGATTGGTGGCTCTCAGTCTCCTGGGTAAACCTGAGTCAGGCCACAGAAACACAGAGTGGCATTAAGACTCCAACTACAAATGCAACAAAAACCACTACAGACACATTATATGCACACAGTGTTAATGTAAGAGACGTTTATTTTTCTTGCCAAAGACAAACTGCATAAACATTAAGTTTCAGTCCCAGGATTTGCATTTCTTTCAATCAGCGCGAGACATGTTCTGACTCTCTTGATTATGATTTTCCTGATCAGCCTCCAGCTCGCTGATGACGGGGAGAGAAATTTAAGATTAATGAATTGTCTCGCCTCAGGCATCTCTCTCATCTCTTCTATTAATTCCTCAAGAAAAAAAGAAATGAAAAGCTTCATCAAATAAACAGGTGCTTGTTTCTGCATGACCAACTCTTTTGCTTCATCAATATTCAAATGTAACTCAGGCAGGATTTTTATTTGAGATGAACTCAGATGATAAATCTTTAATGCACATATCCATTTCAATCTCTCGATACAAACCAGGAGATTAACTTTTCATCTTTTTGCAGGATTACCAGATCTCATTGGTTACCCAGAGTAATGGATTGTGATGGCAGGCATTATGGTTGATATCTTGTTTACCCTTCACAAGCAGTGGTTCATTTTATCAATGTATTTTTCCATCTTAGCACAAAATTACAATTTCCTGAGGTGAGGAATTATGCCTTTAAAGCCTCAGAGCTTTGAAACACACTACCTTGATGTCAGAGAAAACAGATCACCAACGAAAACAAAAACATCTCCCCTCAACATCACTTTAACTCTCCAACTCTCCTTCAGTTATTCTTGGTGACAATTCTCTGACTCCCCATCCACTCTTCTTTTATTTGTAATTATGTGAATTCTTTGGCAACATTGTTATTGTAAGTCCTCCAAAACGCTCATTAAGTTGAATGGCATTGAAACGCTCTCACATCTCTCATGACTCTCCTCCAACTCCCCTAAAGGCTCCTTTGATGTCCCTCAAACTCTCCCAAAATCTAATGCTTTTCCTCTTTTTTCTCTTAAGACTCTGTTTTTACTCTCTTCACCATCGACTCCTCCTCCCCTCTCCTCTTCCTCCCTTCTGATTCTCTTTGATTCTCCTTGGACCCTCTGGTGACTCTGCTACAACTGTCTTTAAGCTGTCTGTCAACTCTCTTACATGCTCCTCAAACGCTTCTTGACTTTTCCTCAACTCCCCCAAATTTTCCTTTGTTTCTCCTGTATTCTCTTTCAACCGTCGGACAAATCTTGTTGAACTGTCTTTTGACTCTTCTTCACTCTTTTTACTCTCCTACATGCTCCTTGAACCCTCCTTTGCTCTACTTGACTCTGCTTTGAAACTCGTGCTCTGTTTTTGACTGTACTTCACCTCTACAACTTGGTTTTGGCTCTCCAACAACTTTCAAACACTCTTCTTGACTTTCTTCTGCTCACCCTTAACTCTCCTTCATTCTTCAAGACATTCCTTTCACTCTTTTTTAGCTCTCTTAAATGCTTCTTGGATTTTCTTCAATTCTACTACACTCTTCCAGCTCTTTTTGACCTTCATTTGCTTTCTTACGCTCTTCTCGCTCACTTTAAACTCTTCTCAGCTATCCTACATACTTCTAGACATTCCTTTAACACTTCTTTTCAGCTAATTTAACTCTTAGCAGCTTCTTGGATTTTCTCCAACTCTTCTACTCTCTTCCTGACCTTCCTATGCTTTTCTTTACTGTTCTAGCTTTCCTTCAATTCTTCCTGACTCTCCTACACTCTCCTTGACCGTCCTTTTCTTTTCTTCACTCTTCTTTTCTTGCCCTTTCAACTCTTCTTCACTTTCCTTCAATTCTCTTGACTCCCTTCCAGCTCTCTTTTGGCCTGCCTACACTCTTCTTGACTCCCCCTTCGGTCTTCTTTGACTCTCAATCAGCTGTTTCCAGACTTTTCTTAACTGTGTTTCAGCTCTCTTCACCCTCCATTGCCCTCCCACAACTCTTATTATTCTTTTTTGATTCTCCTACGACTTTCCTAGGACAGGCACTATGAATGACTTTTGGAGAAACTTGGTAAACAGCCCTTTTAGTGACTCTTGTAAAAGCCCTCTTGCTTCAGTCAAACCAGTAGGTGTGACGGTCCATTTGGCCTCATGGGGATGGGGATCAATGGGTCCTGATGTCTGAGCCACTATAAAAGCTGCCACTCTTGTCTCTCCCCTGGACTGGATCAAACACAGACACAGCCTTAAGCCTCCCTTAAACACAATCACCTCCTACCTGCTTCAACGGCCTTTCATTACTTCATATTTTTAGGCTTGTACACTTCAAACCCCTTCCCTTCTTGTCCAACAGCCCTGGTGACAATTACTAAAATATTTGTGGATACATTTCTATGTCACCGAACTAATCAATACATTAAATCAAAATAAAAATGCAGATCCTAGCATAAATCTTCTAAATATTTCATATGGCAGATTATATCTGATGTGTCCTTATCTATCTTCACAAGAATAGACTTAACCTAAAAAAATGGCTTCAGTCTGTAAATGCTGCCCTACTTTTTAAGTTTGTCTAATGAATTTTTTTTTTTTCAGACAAAGCAAACATCCTCAGATGCTCTGCAGATTTATGACCTAAGGGAAACTGTATCAGATTAGATCTTAAATCCTCGTATCCCATCATGGCGTTTGAATTAAAAAGTTGCAGGTTGTAATCCTTCCGTGTACCTGAGAGCTGGCTGGCCATCCTGCGCAGGGTGACTGATGAGGACCGGATCTGAACCTCCCCGCTGTCAAGAAATATTAAACCATCTGTGACATACTTGAGCTCGGAGTCCCTCGTCTTCCCCAGAGGGTTCTTGATGGTGAAGTTTTCAACATATTTTTCCAGTGGGTCATCCAGGGAGCCGATCTTCCCATCCTCCCAGAGTTTGTAGAGCATCAGAGTCGGGAAGATTTTCGACAGGCTGGCGATCCTGGGAGACAAAAAAAGAAAAAAAGACCTTCTTTGTTTCTCCTTAAACTTTCTCAAATTTACCATCTTCTATCTTTTGAAACACAGATTTGACTCTGAAAACAAGTAAATTTTCACCATAGTTTGCTTGTTCATCTCAGACTAAAAGCTAAAAAGGGAAACCATGAACTAATTTACAGCACTCACTGGTGGTTCAAACCCAATTTTGAACATGTCTGATCATTGTGGGTGTTTCATTGTGTGCATGTTACACTGACTGTGAACTAAATTTCAGGCTGAATGAAAAATGATCATTATCATCACTGGCGGTGAAGTTGTGCAGCAAATGCCTCAGAAGGGCTGCTGTGCATGACTCAGAGCAAACGACACACATCTGCGGGAACTCAATAAGCCTTTGTGTGCAGTCTTCTTCTAAAAGTCACGATCTCACAAATCTATCTGAGCTGCAGACGAGCCATATGCGAGTAACAGTTGTGCTCGGATTGATTTGAGCTGCATGCTGCTCAATATGTGTGTTTGGAGATTTATTCTGTCAGACGGCATTTCCCTGACAGATTCGAGAATAGGAGCAGGTTAATGAGGAAGCAAAGGTAATTTGTGTTTGATTTTAAGAGTTCACATAAAGGACAGCTCACTTATCATTAGTGCAGGTAATTGAGAGCAATTTAAAGGGTCATTCCAACAGTTTTACTCTTGAATGACACATGCCTAAAAGTAACAGTCCGCATTGTGCATTACGTAAGCTTTCCACGCTCTGAGAAAAAAAGCCTCTAATTGTGTAATGAAGGTTTTCTCGTCGTGAATTTTAAGACTGCAATAAGTTATTAACGGCAAGTGGACTTGGTGAAAAGAGGACTTGGTGAAGTGGGTATTTTTTCAAGCAGAGGGTCAAATGATGGACATTTTTATGAGACTGAAGTATCTGCACTCGGGGATTAAAAGACAGGTATTTTTAACTTTCCAGAGTCAATTTCGAACAGTTTCACCTCTCCAAAGTTTGAACAGTCTTTACTCTCTAAAACTTTCAAGAGGTGATGCCGAGGTTTCTCTCTACCTCTTGAGACTTAAAGTACTGCACAGTGTCCAAAGAAGTACCCAGACTAGGCAACAAGGTGCTGCCAAGTGTGTGAGACCTTACATGTTTGGAAAATTGGAAATAGATAATCTTACAGAGGCTAACCTAGGGTTGTGAGAAGCTCAAAAGAGCTCCAGCAACACTTGTAGTTCAGAAAACAACTTTATTAGTCTGCCATGTTTTGGCTTGTGGCCTTCATCTGGGTCAGATGGATGACCCTGATGCACCATTTTTTGGAAATATAATTTGCTTTAATATCAAAAACAACTGGTTATTTTGAAGGAAAACCACTGCTTCCCCCTGAGAGGTGAAAAGTCACATACGGTTAGTTCAAAGTCTGTTTAATCAAAATGCTAGTAAAGCCTGGAAGTCGAGATTATGTATGTAAAAAAGCTGTGGTTCACTGGTGGATTGGATTGATTCTGGCCTGTGGCCCATCTTCCTCCAGTTCTCTAGTCGGCCCATCATTCTTTCCACTCTGAATAAACCCATAAAAGCCCCCTAAAAAGTAACTCTCAGAGTCTGATTGATCACAAGTTTCAGGGGTTTTAGGGTTTAGACACCTGCAGAGATCCAATCACAGCTGAATATATGAGTGCTTCTCCCATCAAGGAAACCAAAGTGCATATTTACACATGACTTACAGTGTTTTAACTTTGATGATAATCTAATATTTCAAACATGCTCATGTTGACAGGATAAGGCAATCTGTGATGTTATGAATGAAATGTGTTTCTTCACATCTAAAAGGTCCCATATCCTCAGCCCAGGTTCATACAGTCAGGATAATCCTCAGCGAATACAGACTTTGACACAACTCAGACTGACTTGACCCTTGCTTTATTGTTTTATGCTAGTTTGTGGAAACATTAGAGAGTATGTTTGGTCAATTTTTTAAACTCTAAACTAAAGAAGAGGATGCAGCTCAGAGTGCCTGACAAATTCAAGCAACTTTTATAACCTTGATTCCTATTTCTGATTGGTTAGTTGACTCACTCTAAAGACTTTGTCGACTAAAACTACAAAGGGCAAAAATAACTAAAATGTGAACTAAAACTTAAAGGTTTTTCAGTCTAAACACAAAAGCTAAATCTAAATTTGCTGTCAAAATTAACACTGCTCTGACTACAGGTTTGGTGACTCGACCAAAAGTATTTTTGTTTTTCTGTGTATTTGTGCTTTTGATTTGGACTTGAGCTGTAATTATAGGTTTCTCACTTTTCCCTAATGGATGCCCTCCAGGCAAAGCTTTTAACACCATGTTTCCATTACATGTTTTGGATTGACACACAGAGGAGGAGAAGGAGGAGGAAGAGAGATTCCTGTGTTTTTATTTTGGAGAGGTATAAATCATACTAAGCTGAGGTTTAATTTTCTGTCAAAGTTTCCGGTGGTAAATCTAAAATCGACTTTAACTCCTGCTGTTTTTGATTTTTAGCTGTCTGTTTCCGTGGAGACTCTGGCCTCTGTAACACACTCCCAGCTGTTACTTTTGCCTTTTTCAGGCAGTTTGTCGGGGAAACATGAGCCCCATCGTGCTGCAACATCAATTACATACTAATCAAAGTCAGGAGCTCCGGTGCTGATGTACATCGACTAGTAATATTCATTTCTACAGCCTATGTCCCCATAACAATGACCAAGGATGATGCAATGAAGCTCGTCCTCTGATTAAAACATTTCTGCCTCTGCGGCTTAGAAACCAGTGAGCTTCATGTTTCATTGAGCAGATACACGATGAGTGAAAGAGATACTGTTAGGTAAGACCATCCACCTCCACCTTAGGTCGTTAATTATGATTTTGCCAAAACATTTTTTATATAAATCTTCATGCCTGGAGAAAACTTGTCTATATAAGGTCTGTCTCTCCTCAGAAGTAAAGAGAAAAGATCTTTGCGCTGTGGGATTTAGTGAAGGAGCAAAACAGGCAACAACCCCCTGAATCCATCCTTTAATCCGAACCATCCATCCAGGTAGGTTATATGCCTCTAATAACACCCAGAGGTGTGTTTCCTAAACAGCTATATTGAAGCCTGCTAATACGTCTCCATGCCAACAGATGTCTGAGCTGTCTGGAAAACATGGATAAAATGTCTCAACTCCTCAAAGTTTCAGCAAAGCCACGTCATTCAGGGATGAAACTCAAACTGTGGTTCTGGTTGGAGTATGGTTGGAATAGACTTGTTATTGTTATTCAGTCTTTGGTACTTTTGTCTGTGATTTGCGTAGCCAAAAATGCTCGGTTTTATATCAGCTGTTTGTGAAAGCTGCAATTTGACCGACTGGGACTAACACTCCAATAAAACCATTTACTGGCAAAGCAGGCTTGTTTGTCCTCTAGTTTCACTTCTGGGTGATTTAATGTGTCAATCTGCTAAATAAAAGATGAAAAACCTGAAGCAGAGTTCGTTTGACCGTCCATTTAGTGAGAACATGTCGTAAGTAGGGCTGCACCTAACAATTATTTTTTTATTGATTAATCTAAGGATTATTTTTTTGATTAGTCTACTAATCTGTCGACTAATTTATCAATTATTCCAACGATTATTTTTCTATTAACCGATTAAAATAACAATGAATTTAACCTAAATGAATATTAAAAACTTGTCCAATTAGTATGCAATTCAACAATTTATTCAAGAATCTCTTAAAATCAAACAAAACAAAATAAAAGTGCATTTTTATCAATGCTTTTTTACATTCACAAAGCACTTAACATGCTGTTTAGCTTATCTAAAGTCAACTGTTAGTAACACTCAGCCAAAAGCTTGCACTTAGTGCTGGACGACACACTGTGAACCGCAGTATGCTGTTTTTGGATAACCAGCCATGACATTGCAATATATCACAGTGTTGCACAAGTGAAATGCATGGCTGGGTATTATAAGGCTTGAAATTATTCCATTTATTATTACATATTTTCAAAATGCATTATGTAACAACGATAGCTGTATTAATAAAATAAAATAATTATGATAATGATAAAAATAATAGGGCTTGAAAAGGCACATTAAATCGCAATGCATTGTGGGTTACGGACGGCATTATGCTGGCAACAGTGTTTGTTTACATTGCTGAGTAAGACATGACGCTAGATAATAGGGTTTCCCCTTAATGCAATCGTAGTGCACTGCCATGGTTAAATAAAAGCCACCACACCTTAAAAATGATTTTTTTTCTTAAGTGGATCTACCTCGGACTCGTGTATCAGTATACATATGTGCAGCAGAGCTCGTGTGCACCGAGTATTAGCATTAGCGAGCTATCGTCTGTGATCACACAGCTGATTAGTTAGCGACTTATAGGACAAATAAAAGCACAAAACTGATGCTTTAACTCCGAGATAAAGTGAATGATATATATATTTGGATATGGGATGCAGGGCGTATGATGCAGCGTTTACTGTGGCATTTGCTGCACCAGCTGTGTGTTATATGATTGACAGGTCACTGCATGTCTCCTTGAATGAAAGCAGCACGATCTTGGAAATGTAAACAAGGAAGGCAGGAAAAACACATGCATTGATTGAGAGGAGCTGCTCATAGATCATGCTAAAGTAGGTTTTAAATCGACCCCATTACTTGGAGCTCGTTTGCCGTCCATCCTTCCACCATTACATTAAGTAGCCATTGTCTATGTCACTATGCGACAAGTCAACGCATGTTTTTAGCGTTGACGAATTTTTGTAGTTGAATACGTCGACAAATTGTCCCAGCCCTAACCGTAAGATCTATTAAAGAATTGATGTGACGAGCAACCTTTCTTTTTAACACCCTCATGGAAGACCAAACTCCTACCAATGATACTTTGACCAGAAAACAAAACAAAAGTTTCTTCAATTATTTACAGCTTCTGGAGCTTTCTTGGAAGAAACACTGGGGGGGAAGACCAACACAAGTTCAGCTGACAAAGGTTTGAGAGGTCCTTCATAGTTCTTATGGTGGGGTGTACTTATAATTGAGCAATACCCAAAACAAACAATGCACCAGTCAAGATAAAGATGGGAATCTGGTTTGGGGGCTTCTACAAATGAAGAGTTATGGTCTGATCTATGTCAAGACAGTATTTTTACCGCTGGAGATACCAAAGTTAGACTGATCAACACCTCAGAAACTACATACAATGATCCCACAACTTCAGACTTTAGTTTGTGGTATTTCCTGGAGCTGTACTAAATCTAGCAGTTATTTATCATTTAAGAGTATCAGCTCAAAATGTCACCATCCCATCTATATTTATGGTTGAAAAGACGACTGACGAAGCATGAAAAATTTCCCAAAATCTAACCGGAGAGTCCTGAAGCTTTAACCAGACATAATAATAAAGGTTAAAATAGATTGATTTGTACTGCAGGTCTTCAGCGGGTCACTCACCTGTAGATTGTGTACTCATTTGGGGCTCCTGAGAGTGGGTCACTGATGTTCCTCTTCCCAAAGTTCCCGGTCCATAAAACAGTATCATTTAAAATCACAATTGCTGACAGAGAGGGGAGACTGATGGGGTTGAGGGTCTGCCGAAGCAAAAGGTCCACCTGGAATAAAAAGAGATCAAAGTGAAGATTTTTTCCTAAAAAGTTGAAGTGTTTGCATTTGTGTCAAACTATCAGCTCACAAACAGGTGAGCTTTCTTTTCTGGATCCATTTTCTACTAAACTAAACGACAACCACCGAAAGTTTTAGAGGCAGACAATAATGAGGGTCATATCAGTCCTCACAGAAATCTCCACAAAAAAAGCAATTAGGCAAACTAGCCAACATTTGTATTAGTTTAAAAGAAAGATTTATACACTGACTTGAGTCTCAAGGTTTTGGATATAATTGGGCTTTGAAATAAGATAAATCATTGAATAGCTATGGCTAATGACGTCCTGGAGAAGGTAGCTTTGAAGTGGAGCTTACCAAATAGAAAGTAGTTTTAGAAGTTGTAGAAGAGTTATTTTGTTTAAAAAAAAATCATGAACTTATACTGGGTGTCAAATCAAATCCTTTGATTGACCCAGATAATAAAGACCCTCCCTAATGAGATCTCGATCTGTTTTTATTTCAAACCTAAACGCTTTCTTTACACCTATTTCCAAATGTACAAAGTACAAACTTTTGCCACAGACATGATTCAGCTTTTTGTAAACATTTCAGGAAAATATTGTTGTTTTTAATTGGCTTTATTAGAGACTTGCAAACTACAACCCTGAAGCCCATGGTCCCTTTCCCTTTGTAGAGTGTATCGCTGCTCACAACACGACCTTGCCTAATTCGTCATTTAACCATCATGTGACATGCTATGGGAGCCAAAAAAAAGTACATTAACCTTGACTCACAGCAGACATTAGAGCAGGAATAATAAATCAAAGCTCTTTCTGACAGGGTTGTCTTTGCTGGGAGCTGTTAAGCAAATGAATTAAGTATTTTATTGTGCTCCCAATATCTGTCTGCACTTAGTGCTTAAGTGGATTATTTTATTAATTTATGACAATTTCAGTGTCAAGCAATGTCATTTACTCCCAGGTACAACTGACCCTGCATTTGAGTTGAAGAACTTGATCAGGATGCATCGTGCAGTGGAAATTATTTTAATTCAAAAGTGGTAAATTTTACATTTTTATGAGTTAATGCTCCAAACTGTTCTAACTTGAGGAATACATTAACCAAAAGAAGGCCTGTGGTTTACACTGAGAGCTGTTTTCATGCTTATGTGCTTCGCCTTGTTATAAAAGTACTGTATGATCATGTTAAGTTGATTTCACAGTGTTTAACGCCTCTAGGAACTCATATGGTATTGAAATTGTTTTATCGTAAAAATGCAATTTTCATGATAAGGGAGGAACTCTTAAATCCCAAAAAAGAAAGAAATGTAAATAATCTCAAATTCTTCTTTTTTGGATCCACATTTGCTGGATCAGTTCATTTTCCTTCACTTATCCACAGTTTAAAGGCTGGGGCAGCAGATTCAGCTCCTCCTGGGGGTGATTCTTAGGTGGTCCAAGGCCAGATGGTGTACATAATTCTTCCAACTAGCTCCCAGTTTGTCCTGGGATCACAGCACAGTTTACGCTCCTGGAAAACTTCCACAAGAAGGTGTCCAAGAGGCATCCCGATCAGATGCCTGAACAGCCTAAACCAGTTCCTTATGATGCAAAATAGTTGTCCCAGCCCTGTCACTGGGCTAAGCCTGGGCACCTTTGAGGAAACCAAGCAGTGATTTCCTCCATCCTGTCTTACAGACATTGATTTATGGATGAGCAAAACTTTTCAAAAGTGAATGAAGAGAAGACTGAAAATTCTTTACTGGGGGCCAAAGCAGCCAGAGAAAAAGTGGACTCAGCACTAGGAGGTTTTAACTCCTAGGTGGTTTTAGATTCTAATATGAATTTTAATGCTCATTGCTCACAAGGTCAGCAATATTTCATTTTATCATCTAAGGAGCCAAAGTTACACATTTTTTATTGCAGAAAGATGCTGAAATGGTTTTAACATGCAAAAAAGTGACCACACAATTCTGGCCCGGCTACCTTTTACTTTTAACTGTTTTTCTTTTTTTTTTTTATAGTCTTTGAAACTTTGGAAACTCGTATCTGCCAAGAGTATAAACAAACTCACTACCTCCATACAGCTTTGTTGTACAGCTTCATCACACTGGTCAGTTTTAAAAATTGCACTGCATCAGTGTGTTATGATTCTCTTTACTCATGCATAGGCTCCAATTGGGTTGTTCTGCGAGCAAGTTGTAATTTTGTGTAAGGGTTCAATTAAAGTTTATGCAAGGGTGTAATTTAAAGTGGAAATAAAACGCGCATGTTTTGTCACTAGTAGTGGTCAGATATATTTTAATAAATGACCTTGCCTAACATCGGATTTTGAAAAATGGCAAAACCGTAGATATAGCAAGTTTATTTTCTTGGTTTCTAGCAGGCTCTCTGCCTAGCCAGCCACCATCTTGAAATGATGTTGTTGCTTATGTCACTGGGTTAGTTATAGAACAGCGCGCAAGTAAGACGTCAAGAGAGAATAGAAAATTTTGTATGAAAATGGATGAGGACGAGGTTGAGAGGACTGTGAAAGTCAGCAGCAACCCCATGGCTTATGCCTTGAAGCCTAGAAAATGGGGGAACTGAGCGGGTGAGGTTAGAGAGGAAAAAGGTTGCGGTGGAGCCAGGTGTTTTTAGGAAGGAGTGGCTTGGCAACACAACCCGGTGTTGGTGTGGCAGGTGCAAGGTGATGCCCACCGTGGCAGAGTGTGTCTGCTGCCAAGAGGCCGATCTGGACCATTCATTGTGTGGCCAGATATGCATAATAATGGACCACTCCTACAATATGCTATGTCGGATGGTGAATATGCTGGAGGTGGAGATTCTGTCCCTGAGGGGCGTCCGAGAAGACACAGCGGTGTGTCCCATCAACAGCAGGTAAGTCAATCCAAAATAAACCAAAGACATACACACTACATGTTGTTGGCCAAAGACAGGGATGGTAGTGTGCAGTGCCAATGATGTTTTCATGTACAGTTTTTTTAAACATACTGTATAACATTGATTGACCGACATGTATTTACAGTTGAGGCCAAAGTTATTAGCCCCCCTATGAAATTAGAAGTTTTTTTCCAAAATTTCCGAAGTGCTGTTCCTGCTTTGTAAGCATCAACAATTATTTTTCTCAAGTCTAAACTGAATTATTTTGTATTTGCCATGATGCCTTCTCAAGTGACAGCTCAAATCCTTAACAAGGTTTTTATACTGTGTGTAAAGTGTAGGACAACCCTTTGTTTTCACTGAATTGATTGATTGATTACAAGCTGTGAGCACTCGAAAGTGAAAGCTCATGATTGCACAACAGTGATTTTTGTTTTGGCTCAATAAAAACATCAATTCTTAAGGGGGCTAATAATTTTGACCCTGGCAGTTTTTGGTTTTTGTGAAATAATTTTGTAATGTAAGGAACCAAAATAAGACTAGGGGCTCTATTTTCGTGTACACTGGTAAGGCAGCGGAGGGTGGCGGACCCCGCGCAGTTGTATTTTCGTCTGGCGGAGCCCGGCGTACAGCCATTTTGGTATTTTCATGGACTGAGGTGCATGGAGGCGAACCGAGATCCGCCAAGCTGGGCATGGTGGCGTGGCAGGGGGAGGTGTCGACAGAATCAGCGGGCGCAGTGACATTTTCGTGCTCGCCAGTGGCGTGTAAAGTGCGCTGAAAGCTCGCCGATTCAGACCTGGTCAGCTTTCAGTGCAGGTGGAAAGCAGCTGGTCTAGTAGTATTTTGGTAGACCGGCGGCGTATCAGCATACGTCACCGATGCCTCACAGGCAGGTTTCCACAGTGTCAGGCGCATTTCAGTGCAATAAATAATCAACAACAACTATTAATCTGAGTCAGCACATACATTTAGATCTATATAGATATATTCTGATCTAAATCTGATCTGATGAGCGCGTTTGACACGCGTTTGGACACACAACCTGACCGAATCAACACAGCTGAAACCGCATTAAATTAAATTAAATATCTAGTAAATAAACACACATGATAAGGTTAACAAGATATGTAATTCGTCTCCCTCCTTTTCTTTCTTCCTCTTCCTCTTATTTCTCGTGCAGCTCGACCTGGACATGTCTCCGTGTCCTCTCTCCATCCTGCTGCAGCTGCAGCTGAACAGATGATTTGTTTCAGTGCTCAGATGAGTTATTTACTTTAAGCCTACATACGAATATTATGATATTCAGTTTTGTGAGCCAAATTTATTTTATATGCCAACATCTATGAAAGAAAGAGCCAGGCCACGGAGCGTGATGCGTCATTTACGCACAGATGGTTTCGATTTTAATGCCATTTTTGGAGTTTATGTTGTGATCTGTGCGCTCAACCCACCTTTGTCACGTGAGGTTTGAATATATGCAACTTTATGTGAGTGTCTTTATTTGTGGAAAAGGGTGTTTGTCTTACCAGTGGGTCCAACATTACACACACCAAATCCATCTGTGCTCATATGAGAGAGTGTGGAGGACGCCCAATGCAGCGCTTACAGTGACACTTGTTGAGGGGCTGCCTTCTGTCGCCATCGTGTGGCATTACTGTCTTCAGACATCTCTTGATCACTTTGACTACTGCACGAAAATAGTAATACGCCTTGCCAGTGGCGGATTTAAAGGCGAGAAGAGGAGCTGATGTTATTGGTCAATACAGGTCTCGGCTGTGTTAAACCCACTCTACGCCCTCTCTCCTCCCTCGCAACGACTTACGCCGCTGGGAGGAGCTGAGTTAGGGAGGGGGGATACTTATGCCGGGCTGCGCCTCTCACCAAAATACCAAATTGTGCTTGGGAACGCCTTGTCGGTGCGGCGGACCTGACTTACGCCGGCGAGGCACGGAAATAGAGCCCTAGGATTTTTGGAAAAGCTGTGTAAAAATTCCTTAATCTGTTGAACAGCACTTCGGAAATTTGGGAGAAAAACTCAAAATTTTAGAGGGGGGCTAATAACTTGTTTAAGCCTAGTGCAAGCTCATTAACGCTTACAGCTGTTAGCTAACAATGATAGTACTAGTTGTTTGCTGCTTCTTCTAGTAAGTCTGGACTGGGCAGGAATTTAATTTTGTTTGCCAAAAATTGTACTTTGCATAAGTCACTCTAACGTCTAGATGTGGTCTTTGATGGGGTGCTACAGATGTTCTATCAGACAGTTGTAGCTAGTGCACTCTTCTATGCTGTGGTGTGCTGGGGAGGAAGCATCGAGAAGAGGGATTCCTCGTGGCTGGACAGACTGATAAGGAGGGCCGGCTCCATAGTCGGTGCAGAACTGGACTCCCTGACATCTGTGGCAGAACAGAGAACTCTTGCCAGGTTCCTTTCCATCCAGGACAACCCCCAGCACCCTCTGCACAGCACCATCTCAAGGCAGAGGAGGTCTTTCAGTAACAGGCTGTTATCCCGCACTGACAGAGGGAGGAGGTCATTTGTCCCCAACTGTCCTTCAACTGCTCCCTCTGAGGAGCCCCTTTACTGAACTGCCCCCCCCACAATATATCCCATCCATGAACAATCCATCAGAATCAGCATTTTTTTGCACATTTTTTTTTCCCCCATTTGCACTGTTTACTATGCCTTCGTAACGCTGCACTACTGCCTTATGGTCATGTTTATCGACTGATTTTATTCTCTTTTTTTTTTAATACAGTATTTATCTTTATTACAGTATTTGTATTCGTAGAATGTGTACTGTGTTTCAAATGTGCTGCCTCTGGGTTTTTGAATTCCCTTCTGGGATTAATAAATTATCTATCTATTAATCTATCCAGCCTAAAGATGTCCTGATCTATTTTTCCCCTCACTCTGTCACTTTAAGCAAACACTCACTCTCTACCTAACTTCTGTAATCCACCGATTATCACTAGAGAACCATGGCCCCAGACTTAATGGTGCTGACCCCAACAGCTTCACACTCAGCTGCAAACCACCCCAATGTCTGTTGGGAGTCTGAGCTTGCAGAAACCAACAGAAACACATGGTCTCCATAAAGCCAGACCATAACATTCAGAGCCCTTCGGACTTTGGTTATAAACCTTCAAAAACAGCTAACTTTGCAAAAATGTTTGGACCTAAATGTGAATGTGTCTGCCGTTTTATTTGAGGTTTTTTTCATGAAGTCTGTGACATGCCAGGGCCTGGTTTTGGTCATTATTATTTCATGATCCTGAATAACTCCAAAGACAGTGCAGTTTTGGACAAATGTGCCTGTTTTTCTGTCTTTTATGCGACTGAGCTGTTTGTAATGGTTTGTTTCTCTTTGCCTCATAATGGAAAATCAAAAACTGTATAAACACATACAGACATACAATATATGCATTTTTAAAGCAGAGGAATGAACTCGGTCTTTGCTGTAAGAGTATAAAGAGCAAGCTTTCTCACCATAATTTCCAAGGCTATTTGTTAAAGTAGTGCATACAGAACCTCAGAGCTGCATAGGGGATATCTCTTTCATCATAACCCATCTGGATTTCAAAAGCTCTGTTTATCATTATACAGTTATTTTTTTTTCCTTAAGTTTGGTTTGCAAACTGCAGGAGTGAGTGACATTTTAAACATTCACTAAAGAGGTTGTTACTCACATCTTTGGATAACAATCTTGGTGTTTGAAGCTGCTGAATAATACATGTGTTTAAAAGTATGTATTTCTCTGCTGGTGTAAACGCTTATAATGGAGTAACTCCTGCAAGCCAGTTCAGGTGGACAACTCAAGCAACATTTGGAAGTCTTTTATAGCTGACAGATCTCCAGCCTCTCCCTCTGCTCTGTCATCTCCAGCACTGAGCTTTAACTTCCAATCCATCACCTCCCTAGAAGCCACCTGCAGGCTCTGACTGCGGTGTTTAAGATGAATCACGCCTTTAAATATGCAATTTAAAAGTATGAAGAGTGATGAGGTTGGAGCCTCAATGCCTAAAACAAACTTTGTGCTGCTGCTGTCTAAAACATTTCAAACCATCACAATGAGACATGTCTGACTGAACAGTACTTCTTGTTGATAGATGCTCTGCCATTATGCATGAATTTGGCTCCATGAGACAAACAAGTGCCAATAAAGGGGGTGGTGGAGGAGGAGGTGTTTCTGTAGCAATAGCTTATGCTGCACTGTTACAGAAATAAACCCCCTCCAAGTACTCCTGTTCCCTGTTTCAAAAAAAGATCAAACCTGAGCCGCACCTCACTCTTGCAGTCTAATAATAGACAACAAGGTCAACATTACACCACTTCCCTAGCCTATGACCTGTGCACGATTTCCTCAGGAGGTGTAAAGAGCTAATTTGCTGCTGTGTGACTGTTGTTGGGATTGTTTGCATAATTAAAAGCATCACTATTGTGATGAACTGCAGAAACTGAAAACTAAGGGCTGTATTTTTGCTATGTTGCAAGTAAAAGATTTTTAAAAAAAAAGGCATAGATGCTTGAAAAGTTAGGTTAAACTTTAGCTGTCGTCTTGGAATAAAATGTCACTCAGGATTTGTCAGGTCAGGTCTAATAAGACATGTTTGCAGACAGCAAACAAAGAGCTAACATCCATTTCTGGCTGGTTTTTCGGGAACAAACTAATGCATGGGTTACCTCAGGGTTCAATCCTTGGACTTTTTTATTGTTCTATTTTTGTACAGTTTACAGGTGCAAATTTAGAGCCATCTCCTATCTTTTTAATTTCAGAGGAACCAACTCCCACTTGATATAAATATATAGAATCAAATTTAATATGTATGCAAAAAGACCATGGGGTCAAACTGTATTTTGACAAGAGTTTGCTCACCTTTGAAAGTGAACAGTGAAAAGATCAGGGTGATCTGCAGGTTTACAGTGCATCCAGAAAGTATTCATACCACTTCACTTTTTACACATTTTGTTATGTTACAGCCTTCTTCCAAAATGGATTAAATTCATTTTTTCCCTCAAAAATTCTACACAAAATACCCCATAATGACAAAGCGAAAAACTTTTTTTTAGAACATTTTGCAAATGTCTTAAAAATAAGACACTCAAATGTCAAATGTCAAACCCTTTGCTATAAAACTCAAAATTGAGCTCAGGTGTATCCTGTTTCCACTGATCAGCCTTGAAATGTTCCTCCAACTTGATTGCAGTCCACCTGTGGCAAATTCAGGTGATTGGACATGATTTGGAAAGCCACACCTGTTTATATAAGATCCCACAGCTGACAGAGCACGTCAGGGCACAAACCAAGGCATGAAGTCGAAAGAATTGTCTGTAGACCTCCGAAACAGGGTTGTATCCCAAAAAGCACAGTGGTCTCCATCATTAAGAAATGGAAGACGTTTGGAACCACCAGGACTCTTCCTAGAGCTGGCCGCCCAGCCAAAATGAGCAAGTGGGGGAGAAGGGCCTTGGTCAGGGAGGTTACCAAGAACCCAATGGTCACTCTGACAGAGCTCCAGCGTTCCTCTGAGGAGATGGGAGAACCCTACAGAAGGACCACCATCTCTGCAGCACTCCACCAGTCAGGCATTTATGGTAGAGTGGCCAGACAGAAGCCACTCCTCAGTAAAAAGCACATGACAGCCTGCTTGGACTTTGCTAGAAGGCACCTGAAGGACTCACAGACCAGGAGAAACAAAGCATCATGCTGTGGGGATGTTTTTCAGCTGGGAGACTTGTCAGGATCGATGGAAAAATGAATGCAGCTAAGTACATCGAAATCCTTGATAAAAACCTGCTCCAGAGCGCTCGAGACCTCGACTGGGGCGACACTTCATCTTCCAGCATGACAATGACCCTAAGCACACGGCCAAGAAGACAAAGGACAAGTCTCTGAATGTCCTTGAGTGGCCCAGCCAGAGCCCAGACTTGAACCCGATTGAACATCTTTGGAAAGACCTGAAAGTAGCTGTGCACTGATGCTGCCCATCCAACCTCACTGAGCTTGAGAGGATGGGGAAAAACTCCCCAAATCCAGGTGTGCCAAGCTTGTTGCATCATACACAAGAAGACTGGAGGCTGTAATCGCTGCCAAAGGTGCTTTGACCAAGTATTGAGTAAAGGGTGTGAATACTTGTGTATATGCAACATTTGAGTGTTCTTATTTTTAATAAATTTGCAACATGTTCTAAAAAAATTTTTTTACTTTGTCATTATGGAGTATTTTGTGTAGAATTTTTGAAGGAAAAAGGGAATTTAATCCATTTCGGAATAAGGCTGCAACATAACAAAATGTGGAAAAAGTGAAGTGGTATGAATACTTTCCGGATTCACTGTATGCTCCAAAATTATCTCCCAAATTAAATGATACAGGTTCAGTTATTTCAGTCAGTTTGTTTGGTTTTTCCTTTTTTCCATCTATAGTTTCAAGGTAATTAAGCAGTTTTTTATAGGCCAACTAGAATTTAACCTGCAAATTTGTGGACTAGATTCAAATCTAAGGAGTCAAAATTTTTTGTCACCATTAAAATGTACTCACTACCGCCTACTCTCAGACTCTCTCATGTGTGAACAGAAACTCAACCTTTAGCTCATATGGACTCAGTTTTTCATCCTCTATATCTTTAATCTCCTTCTGTTGACTGCAGTGGCATTTGGTGTGAAGGATTATTACAGTCAGCCTGTAAATTTCCCTCAGACTGGTATGTGGGCATGATAGAAATATGACATCAGGATTTAAATCTTTGATGATGAACAACTGTCCTCACCTTTTCCAGTGCTTCTTTCAGACTGGGGATGGGATGCTCCAGCAGCAGTGGCTCGGGGAAACGGGGACACACCATTTCTGCTTTGGCATTGCGTCCATTCTCTTCTTCTGGGCGGTGATGTAAAATAAGAAAAGAGGAGGGGGAAAAACAGGGACAGGCTATGATAATATCCACTTGGTATTTGGTCGCATAATGTCCAATGCATGATTTATACCTGCTCAAACACCAACATAATGTGTCTGGCTTTGAACTTGATTAATATCCTTTACATCCTGATGAACCCTGTTGATAATACAGGATCTAATTTAACCGAATGTATGACAAATGATATGGATGAAAAGAAGTGCACACAGGTCCCACTGTGAGATTTGCGTGAAAAGGGACATTTCAATACATCACCCTATCATTTCAAGTTACCATTAACCATTCATTGTAAGGGACCACTATACATGAAAAATTAGTTTCTCAGAGTATAAAAAGATGACTGCATCATCTGAAAACATGAATAAGAGCCTGCAGGGCTGAGCTTTATACCATGAATGATATCACCTGATGTTCCTTTACTTATATAAAAATCCAATTACAAACCTGTACTGTGTTTGGAGGAGTAAAGCATCTTAGTCTTGTTCCCTTTTTCAAAGAAATTACACCAAATAGACTTCTTAGAATTAGACTTTGGCAATAACACTCTTGAACTAAACTTATGATTAAAAGCAACTCTAAATCAGTGGCAGGAAATGTGTTCTTCACAGCGTATTTCACAAAATTGTTTCCTATAATTGTTGATTTTTTTTCCATGCAATACTCCTTAAATGACTTAATTAGACTGTAGAAACTTCATAATACTGAACTCTCTTTAGAAGCATCTATTACACCTGCTTCAAATTAGTTGAGTAAAGAGGGACTTAGAGCGACATGATTGTTTGATAATTGGCCCAGAGACTTTATTGGTTGATAAACAATGCATCACCTCCAACCACCATTTTTACGTTTTCAGATGAAATTGTTCAGACTGAGCCTCTTTATAAGCTCAAAGAATACCACGCACCTGTACATATCATATGCCTTTCCCTACTGCAGTGTGAGTGACTTTCTTTGAGCAACTGTGGAGTCACTTTCATCACTTAATGGTTCATATAAGCCATCACTAAGGTCGAGAAAACACAGGCACACTAATTGAAACAAAAAACAGCTAATACTAAGCTCTTGTTGTGAATGGATCCTGTCTACAATATTTTGAATTCATATTCTACAAAAAAGTGGTGTTTGAAGTCCAAGTATGCCACCAAAGCCCTTAAATTTGGCATATTTTGTCATTGCTGCCACCATATCCTGTTGAAGGACCATATTAAGGCAAGGATAGCTGGCAGGAATGGCTGGTCAATGGGAGACGCTAAAGTGCTACCCCACCACTTCCCATATGAGGATCGATGGACCTTCACTGCACATGAGTTTAAAGAATAAGTCTGAGATATGATACATTTAAAAGAGTACAGGCATTACACACACAGAGTCCTTGTGTTTTGTGTTTCCTTGTGAAAAATTCAGTAGTACCACTAAGTGTCCTTATTCAGGGGAAAGAAAATATAGTCACTTCTCAGTGATGGTCCATGGATGTCATGAAGCCAGCAAGCACTACAGCTGCAGGCTAATATTTTAGCACTGCAGCAGATAAAGATCAACAATTAGTAAATTGTTTTATCTCTTAATTATAAGATCACTGTCTCCTAATTGTGAGATTCTTATCTCTTCATTATCAAAGTTGCAGAGGTGATTAAAGTTGTGTTTCTGTGTCACATCAGATATGAAACAACACCAAGAGTAACTTTGACTAAATGTAAAACAACAGATGTTTATGCTGACTCACAGACATGTGGCTTCTTTTATCGCAGAAGATAATAGATTAGAAATTGTACTCCACGGATGGATTAGTTTGAGTGTGTTAAAATTAAAGTTTTGCTTTTTAGTCAGGGGAAAGGTCAAGTATTAAAGCAATCCGTCAGCTGTCAAAAAGGTGAAGAATTTAGATTAAATTGAATAAAAGTGTGGTTCAAATTTTTTTTTTTAAAAAATACTCAATTTTTTTATGTCTCAAACATTCACTGAAATACTTTAACGCTCAGGTTTAAAGGCTGGCTGAGTAAAAAAGGTTGCCTTGTCTCAGTATCTCTTCACCTTTCCCTGTTTTTATAGCCTTGCCCCCTTTTGTGTAACTTGCGACCAGCGATGTTGTTGCTGTGTTTGTTCTCACCTTGTGAGAGTTTTGGCAGCTGATACTGCCAGATGAAGCATCCGGTCATCACAAGGGACAAAACCAGGAAGAACACCAAACCCAGCTGGCTCCATTTCACCTTCATCTTGTTGGTTTTTGTGAGTCCTTGGAATTTGACGACGGGAGCAGGAGCAGCCTCAGCAGGGGTCGGCTTAAGTGCAGAAGAAGAAACACACAAAAAACACAGTTACTCAAATAAGTGTGTCATTTTTGAGGTTATGCACTCATAAAATTTCTATCTGTGATTTTTTTTTCCTGATCAGTTAAGCTCCTCTATGTTATCTGCAGAAAAAACAGAAATCCCTGTCACACTTTCCAAGTGATCCTGCTGCACTTAACTGTACTCACCACCTGATGCTTCACAGAGCAGAGCTGGGAGAACTGGATTACAAACAGAGATCTTCTAATCACTCAGTCGATATTCTGCATTTTCAAAAAGAGTACGTTCTACTTTTGAAAGGATCCCTGCATCCCAAATCTACCAAATGGTATCCTGTGGAGGTTTTCCAAAGCAGGAGAAAGGCAGAGACACGGACTCCCATCTCTGATTTCTCACTGACTGTGCCGTAATCCCAGGCCCATCAGCGCTCCCGTCCCTCACAATTCAATTTCCTCTCCTGCAGCCACAGGCCATTGACATCATAATCCCCAGATTTACTCCGCCAAAGCGGTCGGGGGGGAGTCTTAATCCCTAATCCCCAAGAATCAATTCACTCCAGTCCAGCCTCGCCTCGTGAAGCCCACCAGAGAGCTGCACGAGCTGACCAAAATGGCTCCCAATCAGGCGACAGAAAGGAGGGGAAAACAGGGTGATGCAGTGCTCCTTGTAGCCAAAGCATGACCTGAAAAGTGCTGTCAGTCGGGCACAGAGAATTTGAATCAAGTGGATGAGGGGATGATGGATGATTTAGGACACAGAAGAGAATTCAGAGTGATCTGGAGATTGTAACACAACTCCTTCTCTAACTGCTGCAAGCTGATGTTCAGATATTAAAAAACAAAAGATTTAGAAATGCAGGTTTTTCATGCACATTTTTTTTTCAGTCAGAAGAAAATCAAGGTCTTGCGCTAATCTTGCAAAAATAACATATTGTAACAGATTCACTAAGAAAATATGAGTCATGCATTACTTTGTTTTTATGTTTGCACAAGTTCACCTGGGAGTGTCAGCTCGTCTGACTGGGATTTAAAAGCAATGCATATGGTTTCTAAGCCAGCTCATCTTCTCTTGTTATGTATTTGTAAGCAGCAGGGCTGGAGCAGGTCATCCACTTATTGGAAGATTGTTGGGTCAATGTGTCCAAAGTCCCTCCTACGCAGCCTGTTCAAGATGGGACTGTTATGCCTCGCTCTAAATGTAAATGCATTGAAGCATTGGTAGTGATCAACTTGTCTTTGACTTCGGCTGAAAATGCAAATGAGTTCAGGCACTTTTTACTCGATTTTGACCTTGAGAGTTTTAGTCTTGTTTAACCTCGAGGAATAAAAAACACTTTAGTCTGAGTTTAACCAGCAAAACATCATCAAACAGTATTTATCTTGGAAGCGTGGTGGATTTGCATCGCTCTAAATTTCTCAAGTTTTTTCTGACTTGATTTTATATGATGGAGACATTTATCCATGTGAATCAAACTAATATGTTATGATATTATTCCCATTTGTCACTGTGAGTTTGGCAGCTGTGATAGTTTTGCAGCTTGTCATTACCGCCTGAGGTTTGTTCAGACAGACGCTGTGAAAGACAGGACGTAGTGCTCTGCTGCCAAATATTCCTCTCTTGTCCTTATATCTCTCCCTCACCTTTATTTTTTTATTTCTCACCGGAAGGAGGTAAGACTGAGGGAAACAACTCAAGTGAGGAACACAAGGATAGAGCTTAATGAGCAGCTTCTCTCTTAGTCCACGGCTATACACAATGGCTTTCTGTGGATCTGGTTTAATGGCTCTTTCTATCTCACAGCAGGCTTGAGAGGTTTCTTTGGTTTTGTTCTTCATATTTAAAAGCAGACATCTGCACATGTTTTACATGATTCATAACGTGTTATTTTGAGTTTGCCTTGTAAAAAAAGGCACTTTTCTAAAACACCAGCTCCTGTTTGTCTCAGTTTATGTCCAAATCTTTGAGTCCAGTTATGACAGTTATGAAGACATTGAATTTACATACACTCACACTATGGTCAATACGTTAAGCCTGTATTTTATTTATTCATTTATTTGACTAAAACAGCATGGTGGAAAAAAGATTGAAGATGGTGAATCAGAAAACTTTTGATTATCTTAAGAAGAGAGTGTCATGCACTCATCAATCTTGATTAAAAAAATAAATAAATAAAAGTAAACAGATAATTTTAATATTAATTTAAATCATTTAGCTGCCCCAAACTGGGTGTCTTTCACGTTATTCAGAATTCCACTGGCTCCAATTTGTACAAAAGGTTTCAGGTTTCTGAATCGGTGCACACACTGGGCTCCTAAATCAACATCAAGAATAAGAACAGTACAAAGAGTTTTTCTATCCTTTTTTGAACATATTTTCATCATGTGTAATAACAATTTAGGTACAATATGTTAATTCTGTTCTATTCTATTGTATTGTATTCTATTTTATTCTATTCGACACTGTCTTTTTCTATTCTATTCAATTTAACTCTATTCTATCCAAAATCTTCTTTTCTGTTCTAAATACTTATTCTATTTATATATTCTATTCTATTCTTTTATATGCTATTCTAAAACACATATTCTATTGTAAAAACAAATCTCTTCCATATTTTTCTATTCTATTCTATTCTATTCTATTCTATTTTATTCTATTCCACAATTTTCTGTTCCAATCTAGTCTATTCTTTTGTATTCTAAAAAGTGTTTGGTTCTCTTCTAAATATTCTATTTAAAATAACATGCTATTCTACTCTATTTTCATATTTTGCATTGTATTGAATACTTTCCACTCTACATCATTTTACTCTTGCTATTTTATGCTGTTTCATATATTGTATGTTCACTCTATTCTATCTCAGACAGGTTTCTTTAGAAAAAAATTAATCAGAAATACAGATAAGTTATTTTTCATGTAAGAATGTGCTTAAAAATCCACCAGCAGTGATGTTTTTAAGCAGAATTAGACTGATAGTTTTTTTTTCATCATTTTGAAAATGACCTTGATATGATGGATATCTAATTTAACAAAAAACCTCCAGATTCCTCAAATCCTTGGAAATGTCAATTATTTTTCGCGCTAGCTTTAAGAATGTCACCTCTTAGGCCTTTAGAGACGCTGCTGATGACGAAGCAGACTGGAATCTGTCCGGTCTGAGAAAAACTTTGTCGTTAAATTTCTACAAAAAAAACGGTCATAATATCTCAGACTGTTGACTCAGTCTACATCCTCTGGTTATTCTGTTTAAAGGGGGAAAACCCTCTTATAGACTTTCTCTCACTGGGAACATCCAGTGACTGTCACTCCGTCACCCTAGCTTAATCACAAGATAATAACCTGGGTCCAAAGGTCAGGGATGTATTTTGATGATGATGATACTGGAGGTCTGTGTGGGAAAAACAAGTGTGAAAGCACGCTGCAGCTGATCCTGATTGCATAACCTGTGACAGCCTCAGGGGACAACAGCTGTCCCACACCACACACATGCACGCACGCACGCACGCACGCACACACAGTCCCACAGATCCACCAGTGCATAAATCATCACTGTTTAATGTGATTTTGCTTTAATACACATTATTTGGTGTATTTACAGACTCAATCCCTGCTTGTTTATGCCTCTTAGTGTGTGTGCAGGCTTTGGTTTGCTTGTTTGTATGTAAGGCTTTACCTGTGCCTGAACCCCATCAACCGAGGTCTGCACGAGGACTTTACTCCCGGCTTTGCCCATCGTTTCTCTGCTCCAACTGTGACAGAAAAAACACAAAACAATTGGTTATAAATTCTGCTCAAAGCCTGCCTGTTCAACTCAACTGCATTGTCGGACATGGCTGTCTCTGCAGAACGTCCACAGATGTTAGGTAAGGCAAAAGGCTGTGAGATCAATTTAAGCCGAGAATATTTTCTGTGGCAGATTTTCTTCATGCTTGAACTGTTCGAAAAGTTATAATATGCCTTATATCTGGGTTACATAATGGAACGGTGACTGATTCAGGGACTGAAACAGAAATTTTGGGGTGCTTTTACACCACTGGAATAAAGGGTAATTTTGTGTTGCTTCGTCTGCTTTATTTGGACACACTTAACTCAGTCTGCTTCACTTTTACCTTCAAAAACCGAGGTTTTCAAATCAAAGCACGCAGTATCTAGTAGTCGGATTCTAGATCAAAATGCTCCCTTGTTTACCCCCTATCAGTGAAGCTACAGTGGCCATTGAGGACAAATAGCTCAAGTAATGCATGATAAATATGATCCTCCATTTGTCAAGTTTTTTACCATAAAAAAAATCCTACTCTCTAAACACTAAAACACTTGTTGTACTCATTTGTCCATTCTGTGCATCAGTAGAAACACAATGGTGCAAGATGGCAGCCTCCATTGAAGGGGACCTGCACCCGTCTAGATATGAAAAGTTAATTCTAGGTAAAGGCTGACAAAAAAGCCCTTTTATCTTCAGGTGATCACACCGTTATTAAAATTTCTTGATGTCTGTTTTTATAAATGCTGCTGAATATTACACACTGGACCTTTAAGGTGAAAGTACAACAATAAGGTCATTCTGCCTCAATAAAACATGAAAAAGATGGTCTCTTGTTGTGTAACAAAACACCCATATGTTAATATAGCCCTGACAACTTTAATCATGTCTGTCTGATTAATGTGCAGTATATTACTTTTTCTCAAGCAAGGCTGTGTTCATAACTAACTCACTAAATCGTTGACACCCATTAACCCTCACAGCTCCTTGATTATAAAGTAACCTCTTCTACATGCAAAGTAGATCTAAATGTGCTGTAGTCTTTGCAGCTGGTAAAGCAATGACTCATTTTATAGGCAACTCATTAGTATTCCCTAATTTACAGTGGTTTTAAAATGCGTCCTCTCCATCAGCTGCAGCATAAAAACAATGAAAGGACAAGATGTACGAGAAGCTTTGTTTAAAAGAAGAAAAGGAATGTGCGGACATGTTCATAAAAGCATTGATGAATCCAAACTGAAGTGTAACACGAGACATTGTGCTGCTTACAGCCACACGAATCTGAAATAAAACAACATTTTGCACCTTAATGGCCTTGTTTTTGGACAATATTGGATTTGATTAAATTAGTCATTACAAAACCTAAACAACAAGTTTTTTAAGCTCCTATAAGGAACTTTTGTATGGTATTCACTTTGGTGCCCCCTGTGGACAAAGCAGTCTTTTCTTATTGGGCTCTATTTTCATGCTTCGCCGGAGATGTGGCCCAGGCGCGGCGGAAGTCAGGTCTGCCGCGCCGATAAGGCGTTCCCAAGCACAATTTGGTAGTTTGGTGAGAGGCACAGCCCGGCATAAGTATCCCCCCTCCCTAACTCAGCTCCTCCCAGCGGCGTAAGTCGTAGCGAGGGAAGAGAGAGGGCGTGGAGTGAGTTTAACACAGCCAAGACCTGTATTGACTAATAAAATCAGCTCCTCTCCTCACCTTTAAATCCGCCACCTGCAAGGCGTATTACTATTTTCGTGAAGTAGTCAAAGAGATCAAGAGATGTCTGAAGACAGTAATGCCACACAAGCGACAGAAGGCAGCCCCTCAACAAGTGTCGCTGTAAACGCTGCAGAGGGCGTCTTCCACACTCTCTCATATGAGCACAGATGGATTTGGTGTGTGTAAGGCTGGACCCACTAGTAAGACAAACACCCTTTTTACAAATAAATACACTCACATAAAGTTTCACATATTCAAACCTCACGTGACAAAGGTGGATTGTGCGCAGAGATCACATCATAAATTCCAAAAATGGCATTAAAATGACGCATCGCACCCCGTGGCCTGGCTCTTTCTTTGGTCAGATGTTGGCATATAAAATAAATTTGGCTCACAAAACTGAATATTATAATATATGTGTGTAGGCTTAAAGTAAATAACTCATCTGATCACTGAAACAAATCATCTGTTCAGCCGCAGCAGCAGGACAGAGAGAGGACACGGAGACGTGTCCAGGTCGAGCTGCGCGAGAAATAAGAGGAAGAGGAAGAAAGAAATAAAAGGAGGGAGACAAATTACATAACTTGTTAACTTCATCATGTGTCTATTTACTAGATATTTAATTTAATTTAATGCGGTTTCAGCTGTGTTGATTCGGTCAGGTTGTGTGTCCAAACGCGTGCCAAACGCGCTCATCAGATCAGATATAGATCAGAATATATCTATATAGATCTAAATGTATGTGCTGACTCAGAATATTGGTTGTTGATGATTATTTATTGCACTGAAATGTGCCTGACACTGTGGAAACCTGCCGGTGAGGCATCGGTGACGTATGCCGATACGCCGCCGGTCTACCAAAATACCACTAGACCAGCTGCGCTCTGCCTGCGCTGAAAGCTGACCAGGTTTGAATCAGCGAACTTTCAGCGCACTTTATACGCGACCGGCGGGCACAAAAATGTCACTGCGGCAGCTGATTCTGTCGACACCTCCCTCTGCCATGCCACCACACCCAGCTTGGCGGACCTCGGTGCGCCTCAGTCCACGAAAATACCAAACTGGCTGTACGCCGGGCTCCGCCAGACGAAAATCCAACTGCGCAGGGTCTGCCTCACCGGAGGACACAAAAATAGAGCCCATTGTGTTCTTTAAATGCTAATACAGCATCTCATCCTGCTGATTTTTGACAGTCAAATATATAATTTATTGTAGGCCTACATCTTGAAAATCAGTGCCATTTTTGTAGCTGCTTGGCTGGCACTTGCCCACTCGCAAAGGTTCGAGGCTTCAGGTGGATAAAGCTGAAGATGAACGTGTCACTGACACTTTCACATTAGTTTGACTTAATAGAGATGATGACATAGCTTGCACATAAAAGCTCAATTCAGGAGGTTATGGGTAGTGTTGAATCAGACTGAAATGAATTCTATTGTCAATTTCTGAGCTAGAAAAGAAAGTGAGAAGATCAATAGAGTCTGATCTTTCTTTTTTTAACCCTGTACTTGCTGGTGGGTTGGAGTTCAGGTGAGGCGTCAGTCAACACTATTTTTTTTTTCTTCTGGAGTCACTGTAAGTTTTATGAGAGAAATCAAGGTGGGATATTTCCACTGACAGAAGCTTTAACTTAGAGATATGACTGTTTCCATGAGCAATGTAGCAGACCACTGCATGATCTATAGCTTAAGATAAGACCAGCCTTGAGAGGGATTTTTCTACCAGTAAATTTTTCTTCATGTAGTGGAAGTGAAAAAGCACAGTCTCTCTTTTTGTGACGACTCCAGAATAAAAAAGGATCCACAGTGGTAACAGGCCTCATGGAGAGGCGACCTTACATGATCCCCTCCTCACACAATATCTGCAGCAGAGAGCAGAGCAGCGAGTCACTGTGGTATTATTTTGTGCACTGATAGACAACTGGCTTGTTCTAGGAGTCACAGGGGGTGAGAGAATGAGAGCTGCTATAATTGAAGGTGCAAACATGACACTGTCAAATGACCTGCTATAATGTAACAGGGAGGACCCAGTGGAGGACAATACCTGTTTACTTATGGAGAAATTTAAAAAAGCACAAAAAAGCAAAAAGAAAGACAGTTTTTGTGCACTTATTTTCTTTTGACCTTTGAAGACTGTGGTCTTTGCAAAAAGCTTATAAAGCATCAACTCTCTGGCACCATTCATTCGTTCATCCGTCATTTCGTTCACTCATCCACCTGTATAGCTAGAGTCAATGATCAACATAAATTCAAGCTGTTGTGTGTCTTTCCATCGACTTTCTGACTGGTTTAATATTGTCGATAAAGTTTTAGCAACAAACCTCTCTGCCTCAAAGTCTACAATGAGGGACATCCAACAAATTGAAGAAAACAAACACAAAGGGACAAGAGTGTTTAATGAGGGACAACAAACAAACTCTAGACAACAAACATGACAGAACCATAAACCAAAACATGATATGGGCTTTGACAGCTTAACAAATAAGTAACACATGTCTTTAAAAATCAACATTTAACAAATTAAAGACAACAAACATGAAGGGACATCATGGGTGATTAATAACAGGCATCCAATGAATTGAATAAAAACAAAACAAAGGGACAAAAGTCTGCAACTAGGGATACCAAACAAACTCTTAAAAGGAAATATGAAGGGACGTGAGTCTTCAGTAAGAGACAACAAACAAACTGGAGACAATAAACATGATGAAACCACAGATCAAAAAATGGTATGGGCTTTGACAGCTTTACAAATAAGTAACAAGTCTTTTTAATGTACATCGAACAAATTGAAGAAAACAAACACAAAAGGACATGAGTCTTCAGTAATGGACATCACACAAATTCAAGAAAATAACCAGGAATGGATGCAAGTCTGTAAAAGGGAGCAACAAATTGAAGAAAACAAACACAGGGACACAGGTCTCAATAAGAGACAGCAAACAAATTAAGGAAAGCAAACACAAAAGGGGAGAGGACCTCATACAGGTGCTGCTATGTTCTGCAGATCCTATTCTGTATATGTTTTGAGATGGACCTGGAAAAAAATTAATAATAGTTGACTTTAAATAAAGTGTCAATGGATAATACAAATTAAAATGATTACATTTTTTTCCCCACTAAAAGACAGCAAATTTAGTTGTTTATTCCCAATTTCTTCTCTTGGCATATATTTTTCATCTTTTCCTGATTCTATTTTTCTTTCAGAGGTTATTTTTTTATTTTTTTTATTTTATTTTTTGTCTAATCCCTCCAAAAACACAGAAGTATAATCTCTGTATATAAAACCTACTTGGCTTTAGATCTAATTCAGAGAAACATAAGCGCATCTCTCTGGGGAAGGTGGGAGCTGAAAATCACAAAAGGGCTCAGTTCAGCTTTTATTGTGAAATGAGGATAAGCTGTTAGTGCCGAAGGATGATGTGCCTTTACATGGACATGTCCTAAGAGAGGTTGTGAGAGGATAACTCTGTTTACTTTGACATCCTGAGCTCTGCCATGAGTCAAAAATGTAAAAGACCACAGCTTTATTCACAACATAAATGTCAGACCATGTTTGACTCATGTTTTCTCACTGCCACATAGTAGAACCCACAGATTTGTTCCCTGAAGCCTTCGCTCAGGTGTACTCATTAATTTCACGGTGAAACTGTTAGGGTTAAGGATGCTGATCTCAACAGAAAAGAATATGGCATATTCTTACAGCTAGTATTCAAAGTTTCACAGACATACAGAGTTCACAGTGTCTTTGATAAACTCAGAGTTTACGTAAGGGGAATAAAGTGAAGTCTAACCTTCAGACTGTAAACATTTATTTCATTTATATAAAACTTTATAAAAACTCATTTTCATAAATCTATTGAAAGTTATCAGGCAGTAAGAGGATAATATCAATACTTTTTATGTATTATCAATACTTTTTTAACCTTTTTATGTGATACTCAGGTTATTAAATGATGGATTGACATTCCATCAGGTTTTTTGTGAGCCTTTTCTGTGGCTGATGCAACTCAGAATACCTGATTTCACAGCTGATTTTGAAGAGCTGCAACTAATTGGGAATTTCAGATTTTTTTTTTCCTGTTATTGTGAGATTTAACAAATACCAACTTCGAGAGACAAGTACAAAAGCTCCATCATTGAACTTGAAGCATCACTTGCAGACATTTTGGTTTTAAGCTGCTTAACAAAATGTGTATATACAGTATCCAAAGAAACAAAGGTTAATTGCTGTATAAGTAATTTTGCACTTTGGCGAACAGACCCTCTTGTTGTTGAAAAGTAGCCTTATAAGATAGAGCCGGTGATATAAAGGGATACCACTTGTGCTGTATCCACAGGGATTTTTCCATGCACTCAAGTGGCGTTTTCTTCTCACAATGATTAGCAGAGAGATGTTGCAGTGCATGCTGAAAAAGTGCCTGCAGAGACAACACATTAGCATGCACGCTTTTGTGGTGTCTCTGCAGGCAAGTGCACTATACTTGCATGTGAATCATGCAGGCTGACTGTAAATCTCATTTATTCTTGTGAGTTATCATGTGACAATAACACTTTACATACTAGGACTTGGCTAAGCTTGTTGTGTAACATTTTTGATGTGGAAAAATTATCAGATGCTTAGTCTGAGATTTTTTATCATTATTGTTAATGATAGTTTAAAGACTGCATGTGAGGCTGGGTCATGCTCTTTCAAAAGAAGCAATTCCTCTAGTTTTAAACAAAGTGAATTGTTCTCTTGCAGCAAATGAGCCTTTGGAAATTAACCGAAGATTGCGGACCTGAGGGGAATTGATATTTTGATTATAGAGAAGTGAGTCAGATGATGCAGCTTCATGTGGAAACCCTCAGAGAAATAAGATCATTGATCAGATTTGCTAAGAAGTTGAAAAGGTTTGCTGTGATTGCAGGGATGTGAAAAAAGCTGATCAGCTGACTTGCAATACTACAACTTCTTGAAGAGTCTGGATGGCGGATTGCAGCAGTACCTTAGGCTATTCTTACTCTTGGCTCCAAAGTTAATTAATTTAATGGACATTTTGATGCTTTTGATACTCTGATGGTCAATGATTTTCTGCCTTCTGGCAAAAAAACAAGTTAATTTGAAATACATGTAAAATGCATGTGCCCTTGACTCCCTGTCATATTCTCCTCAGGCCTGCGACACTCATACTTTAAGTTGAAAGAAAGAAATTTTATTTTTTTTTAGTCTATGTTAAACCACTCCTCTTCGAAGACACATACAAGCCATACACCTGTATGAAATTGCAAACAAAACTCATTTAAGGATTCAATGAGTTAGCCTGACAAAGCACCACTACTTTGAGCAGGTTTTGTTTACGTTAGATCCGGGAAGTAACAGTGCTGATATCAACACTGTAACTATAGAGCTCGATGGGTATTGAGAGCACATTAGCGGGATTATGCAAACTTTCTACTCTCTTTCATATCCTAATATTCACTAGTGAAGGGACGAAAAGAAGATAAAAACAGAGAAGAGTGTCTGAAAGAGGATGGAGAGTCGCTATATTACTTTTGTTTGTAATTCAAGCTCTGCCTGCTGCACAACAGGGCTCTTAATGCATATACTGAATATGGTTTTCAGGCTGAAGTGAACTGTCCTTAATGCAAGCGTTAGGTAAGAAAGAGAGACTTTGATCCTCAAGTAAAATAATGTGAATTCACACCAATTATTCTGCAAAAGGAGTGATGATTCAGTGTTGTATTGTTAGCCCACCCCCACCCCCCCCACCTCTGTTTTTCTTGTCTGCAGCTTTTGTGTGAGGCAGGGAGAGGCTAGCCATTTTCCAATTTGCCAACGATCCTAGCAGGGCGTACTGATTTGCCCAAAATTTAGTATGCAGTATGTAGTCGGTGAAGAAATGCAGTATGCCAAAAATACCCAGATGACGTACCAATTCGGGAAAATTTCACAGTATGCATCGGACCAGTCTACTTCGCCTACTGTTACCCACAATGCAAAGTGCCTGGACAGATGGTGGAATGGCGGAGAGTGGCGAAACTTTCACCCGAGCCGCAGAGGATTACAAATATAAGTGCTGTAACCTATTATCTTTACCTTTTTACCTTGTATTATTGCAAAATGTGTTGTAGTGAGGTCACTGTTGTTGTCTTGCCACTACGGCTTGTAACTGCCAAAAACGTGCTGTTAAGTGTGTCCTGTCACTGTACTTTACCTGCTAAGCTAAAAACAACTACACAACTAGTAAGCCAGCTGTCTGATGTACCACATTGTGAATGGTGGTAATGGGAACATCAGAAGCTTCTGACACCACCTGATATGAGGTGGTACTGGCCTTTCAGTACAGATTCAAATTCACACCTCCATGTCCTTTCTACAGCCATGATTTTTTGTATGTTGTGTGTTTTTTGTACAAAGATCAAGTTAGTTATGAAATAAACTTATTAAACATATTTGTCACAGAGTGTTGTTTATTTGATTTACTGAAAGTAAATATCTGTATACTTGATCATAAGCTTACTTTTGCTTCCCAACTTAAACCCCAGCTAACCCTTGAAACATCTTATAAGTGGGGTACTATCACTGTATTCATTTTCTAAGAGGACAGCCTGTCTTCTCCTCCTTCTTTCAGCATTATGTGTGAAAACCACTGACAAGAATGCCATGTTTTGTTATCATACTGTGCAGTTTTTATCCTCTATTTCCATCGCCTCAAATTTTCCTGCTTCTCCTCATCCTTTATACTGCATGGTATGCGCGATGTTAACCACACACAGCGCATGGCATCAGCGGCGTTTACATCACACAGCTAGACAGACATCTGGCATTGGAGGGGGTCTAAAGCTTTAATGCAGAAAGGTGAGTAAATGTTAAATCAGTCTTACTCAATCAGCAGCCAAGATGGTGTTTGAAATAAATTGACAGGAGACAGGAGTTTGCGTTAGAGGATTTTCACTGTAGTGGTCAAACTATCGGAACAAAGGGAAATAAGACCACACCACGCAGACGCCATCAGATAACACGATTAGCGAGGATTGCAACTTCTTTCATTTAAACAGGAAACAAGGACAACGTAACTGACATAACTTTGCTGTATTTACAGTGCCGTGATGGAATCAACTGCCGCCAGATCGAGTAATTGTTCTGTCATTGCATATACAGAACACGTTTTGATGGCTGGTATTGGGCTAAAAATCCTGAAAAAAATCAAATTAAAACACATATCAGAGGGTTTTCAGTGAGTAAATGAATGATAACACTGTAGTGTTGCAGTTTACCAGGGTATGATGTAATTTTTCACACCGGAATCCAGCTAAACCAGGCCAAGCATACTACATAATAATGGCGGACTTGCAGTCATACTGCATACTACTATTGAACACAGTACTCAGCAGAAGTATGCAGTAGGCCAATACGAAAACTGCCGCTGACTCTGCTGCAGCAGCTGATTAGGCACACCTGGGGTCACTCTGTCAATCAAGCTGCATTTAAAGGTAATTCCATCTTGTATGGTAGAGCTAGTGTTTGTGAGAAATTTTTGAACCTTGTAAATTCTTTTGGCTCATTTGTGTTTCTTCTCTTCCCAGGATCTCGGGTTTGCAGATACTGCTGCAGCTTGGAAGTATGTTTGCTCCAACCAGCCGGATCCCTGCCTTCACTGCCTGCTTAATTTTTGTTTAAAATAAACTTCTGCTCAAGACATTTTCCCAACCCCACCTCTGCTTTTTGGAATTCTATTTGAGCAACCTAAGAAGGCCCAAACGCAGAAAAAGGTTGACATTTCTTGGACTCTGACCTAATTGAACGTTCATAGAAAATTCATCACGTCGCTGAAACCTGACCTGGCCTTTCAGAGCTCAATCAGAGTGCCTGAGCTAATGAGCCAAAATTAGATCCTGCTTACAGAGCAGCTTCTGATGTGCTGACATGGCTGCATTATCTGTCAGCACCGTGAGAGTTTGTTGTGAGAGGTCGTGTCTGTGTTGCTGAAAGGGGAGTTTTTGAGCTTATTATATTGCACAGTAATGCAGGGAGACACCAAGTTTAACACAGAGAGCACCTGGGGAGTTGATTAATTTATTGTTGAAGCGCCTGTGAGGAATGTTTGACAGGTTGTAGAGCAGATTCAAATTAACAGTGAAGCCTGATTATGGCCTACAAGAGCAAACTAGACTGTCAAGGATACGACTGACAATTTCAATGAGGATGTTTTAATGCCAGGTACTCTTCAGAATTTACGTGTACAGCAGCGATTCTGGTTGTAAGACGATTTATTTCTGAGGGTCACTGGCTGGTTGTGAAGGGAAAAACATGACAAATTAATGATGAGATAACCTAATTTTGGTTATTTTCTAAATATGTAATCACCTGCACCATATACTTTCTTTGTTGTAGTGCTGTTTCAGACTGATAGTGAGTTAAATCATGGTTTTAGCATCTAAGTATCACCACTGGGGTCATGACTTGAACAGATTCAGAAGTCCTAAGGAACAGAACAAATTTAAAGAGGGGGTATTTCTGATCCCTCTCAATAGCTTTACATAAAAAAGCCTAATTTTTCTCACCCTGGTGAATTACAGTTTTTTGGACTGCATAAACACTAAAATCAAAAGTCTAACACAATTATTAAAATCTTACACTCAAGGAGCAAACGGGGGCCCGGTTTAGCACAACCATAAGCACAATGTCAGCTTCACACTTTTTGCAAACCACTGCACACAGTGAATTACAAAACACTAAACACGCTTGTATACATTAGATACAGATGCATACCATGATGTCACTTCCTTGCAAATTCCAAAGCACTGACTTTCAAATGACCACACTCATTAGTCAATTGATTAAACACAACACAGCACCAATACATGATTGCTTAATTGTAGACACACCATCAGGTTCAAGCACTACAAAAAGGCAGGTGCCCCTAATCCAGGCCATGGAGGAGGCCTGTGACCAAATTGACGCTATAGCTATTCAAAGATGAATTGGACATGCACAGCTGTTCTTCCCTCCTTGTCTTGCTAATGAAGATAACACATGTGATGTCGTTGAAATTCTCTGGCTTGATCCAGCTTGGCAAAGAAATAATCCCCAAAATTTCCCCTGCTGGATTTTCTTTTCTTTTTTGTCAGTTTTTTCCCCCCATATTTTTTTATTTTTTGTTTGTGTGTGTAATCTTGTCTTTTTTAGTGTTATGCACACTACTGTTGTAGCATGGACATCTTTTGTTGAACATTTGACTGATTTAGGTATATATAGAGAAATAAATTATATGTTCATCATTCTGCAGCATTGGTCTTGTTATGCATTTGGTGAATTTTCTGTATTGTATATTTGGACTTTCTCTGTGTACTTCACTTACATTTCTCAAATCACTGAGAAGTAGAATTGCTCAAAGTGTTTTAAATTAAGCACAGCAATGTGTAACTGGTTCAAATACAATTAAGTCATACAAAATGTGTGTTTTCATCTGGTAACAAAATATTTTTATAAAGTAGAGTTTTTACAAGAATGTTTCATTTTGCAAAGGATCTGAGGTGTTCTGCTAATTGTGTTTAGTGTTTTAAAAAACCAAGCCCTCTATTCAAAGTCGTGCTTAAGCACTTGAAAAAAACAGTGAAATATAATTATTTTAGCTTCTGTCTGAAATAATTTGTTCTAGATACAGTCTCTTTAAGCCCCGCCCCCTCCACAAGCCTACTTTCTCCTGATTGGCCACCTTTAAGGAGGCTTTCTGGAAGCCTGCCAAGGACAGAGCTTGTTGTTTTGACATCGCCTCCTCTATTGTGGTCTGTCAGTGAAACCAAAACTGAGCTTTTCTGTTTTTTGTTGTAAATGTGGAAAGTATGATACTACCCCTTTGAAGATTTAAGGGGGAGCCAAAATCAACACTCAGGGTTCCTGCAAAACCATACCCCTCTGAGCTTAAATACAAGTTAAAATAGTCATTTTTATGACTTTTTTGACACCTCAAGTTTAATATTTTGTCCTTTTAGTTGTTAAGAGCCTGACATGACCATGTTTGTTTGACAAAGTAGGGTTAAAGAGAAACCAGGTATTAGGTAACCTTTTTGATCTAATTAGGAAAATATTAACTGAGTGAATAAAAATAGTTTCACATACTTTTCTGGATAAGTTAATCATTTCATGAAGTTATCTAATTTTAAAAAGTTCTGTGTCATATGTAACTCAGAGCATAAGACATACACGCATTTATTGACTAATACAGAAATAACCTAGATTGTGGAGCCATTTGGCTGTATCATTTGTGAGATTATCATAATATTGATTATTCTCATACATAATGCATTCTGAGTAGGATTATGGGTAGGCTTCATGTTGTGATTATTAAAGTGTCAGACTGCCCTAAATTTCATTTTTTCAATTGCTTTTTGCTATTTTATATCCCCTGTTGTGCTACATATGTAGTCAAGGATCATTAAAACTTTATTTCATCTATCTTCAGTCTCAAAGTTTTAGCAGCTTGGTGAGAAACTTGCCAAACTAAACCAACATATAACAAGCTTTAATCCTTGCACGCTGCATATGCTGCTCAGACTGTTGAGAGTGAATATGGAACAATGGTTTATGTAACTTTAAAGTTCCCCTGAGGAGTTTGCAAAACTTAATTTAATGCCTTTATACATCCATAAATAACATTAAGGTCATTTGTATTAAAGCTGTTACTATTTGGTCATTATTGATGCTTGAAACCACTGCAGAAGGATAGGTTTCATAAAGGGAGCAACAGAGGTCATATTTGTCCACAGGGGGCACCAAAATCCACACAAATCAAAGGTTCCTCACAGGAGCTTCAAAGTCATATTTTAACTTTTTAAAACTGGATTTCTATGTAGAGACTGAACAGTACATTTCAATTCAACTTTCCATCTGTTTGGTATAATAATCTCTGATGTCGGTGTTCATTAACCTCTGTGCTATTTATCATAATGACAGATATTCAGTACATTGTGTTTTCATCTAATCAAATATAGACATAATGAAGAGTATAAAAAGTGTGTGTCAGCTGATAAGATATGGGATTAACAACAGGCGATCTCATTAGTCCACCACCTCGGACAACCTTTAGCCAGTCACCAAATCAGCAGTAAATCGAATATGGTTTTAAAAAGGGAAGACAGTTCACGTGGCTCAATCTTCTCCCCTCCTTCTGTATTTCTGTGTTTTATATTTTCTTTTGTTTTCTTTTATCGGGTGTTTAGTTCCTTGGCTTGGTCTCTTCTGGGTCTCTTTGTCACATCTTCTCCTGTGTCTTCCCTGGCAGTGTTCATTTGCACTTTGTACATGTGCTCTGTTAATTTGAAAACCCATTAGTTCAGCCTCGACTGAGCCAGAGGGAGAAATTAGAGAAACTGAATATACTCACAACAACGACCAGCAGGTGTGAACAGGAGACACAGGTGAAACAAATGAGGGTATTCTAACATGAGCACAATATACAAGGGATGGAGGTAGAATGAGAAATAACATACAAGGAGTAAGATATAACAGGAGGCGCTACAATCTGGAGACAGTCAAGAAATAAAACTGGAATCAAACAGAGAAAATGCAAAACCAAACCAGAATAGACATCACACCTTTTCTCCAATTTAGTAAACTAGTCTGCACACCAAAATTGTGTATAAAGTTGTTCCTGTTTCTGTCTGACATTTCCAGCTCAGACTATCTGGTAACAAACTCATTCTGTGAAGGTGAAAAAGAAAAAAAATCATTTATGTATTTCCGAAAGTGTGGTAGTTCTTCGAGCCATTCCTCGTCCTAGATCCTTCTGCCAAATGTTCCTCAAATTTCTCGGACACCCTTCTGTAGCCTGTTAGTGGTTATATAAATCAACTGCCCTGTGTGTTACACTCTTTAAACCCAAAAACTCTATTGCAGGGTATTAATCCTTGCTGAATTTCCCCTTCATGACTCAGGCTCTCATCAGCTGAACAAAAATCAAATCAAACATGTTCAGAGAAATAGGCATGAAAACCCTGAGTCGTCTTTTTCCAAATACCAACAGCCTAATTGTTCCATAAAGAGGCAAATGATTGTCTTCACAGTGACGCACCACATTTTTAGGGCCCGAGCGTAGCTGCTAAGCAGCTGCGAGAGCCCTATTATTCCCCAAGTGGTTTTTCTTTGTTTCTTTTTTCTTTTTCCTCCCCTTTGAACTGGAAAATGGCCCACTTCCCACTGGCGAAAACTCAGGAAATTTGGCAGGACGACCGGGCCTGGTGAAAAATTTGATATTCCGAAGTCGCCCAAACAAGAAAATGCAAAATGGCTCCATAGCGCCCCCTAAGGTGAAAATTCACACTATTGACTGTCACGCCTGTACGCTTTGTCAAAATGACACAAAAATTGACACACACATGTATCTCAATAAGATCTACAAAAAAGTCAGTGCGGGCGTATCTGTCAAATGTACGGTTAAAGGGTTATTTTGCATTTTTTGCCGATCCGCACACATTGGAATTTCGCTAACTCCTCCGAAGGCTTTCGTTCCACCGGCACCACATTTGCTCAGGCCAATCTACACCCCATGGCCATTAAAAGTTATTCAAATCATGACGCTGCACCCCACGGTTTAGGTTCTAGGGGGCGCCAAAGATAACCCTAAAATCCACATTTTTAAAAGTCTTATAACTTTTTATTTTTGCCCTCACTGGCCTCCAAGTTTTCTAGGATGATGCAATGTCCAGCCATCAACACATTTGTGAAGGAATTTTTACTCCCCAAAAGAGCGCCCCCCATGGCAGGAGAAAAAAGTCCATTTTTTCTTGTCCCCTAAGGTGAAAATACACATTGTTGAGTGTCACGCCTGTACGCTTTGTCAAAATGACACAAAAATTGACACACACATGTATCTCAATAAGATCTACAAAAAAGTCAATGCGCGCGTATCTGTCTAATGTACGGTTAAAGGGTTATTCCGCATTTTTTGCCGATTCGCACACATTGGAATTTCGCTAACTCCTCCGAAGGCTTTCGTTCCACCGGCACCACATTTGCTCAGGCCAAATTACACCCCATGGCCATTAAAAGTTATTCAAATCATGACGCTGCATCCCACGGTTTACGTTCTAGGGGGCGCCAAAGATAACCCAAAAATCCACATTTTTAAAAGTCTTATAACTTTTTATTTTTGTCCTCACTGGCCTCCAAGTTTTCTAGGATGATGCAATGTCCAGCCATCAACACATTTGTGAAGGAATTTTTACTCCCTAAAAGAGCGCCCCCCATGGCAGGAGAAAAAGTCCATTTTTTCTTGTCCCCTAAGGTGAAAATACACATTGTTGACTGTCACGCCTGTACGCTTTGGCAAAATGACACAAAAATTGACAATCATGTGTATCTCAATTAGATCTACGAAAAAGTCAAAGAGCGCGTATCTGTATAATGTACGGTAAAAGGGCTATTTTGCATTTTTTGCCGATTCGCACACATTGGAATTTCGCTAACTCCTCCTAAGGCTTTCGTCCCACTGACACCAAATTTGCTCAGGCCAATCTACACTCCATGGCCATTCAAAGTTGTAAAAATCATGACGCTGCACCCCACGGTTTACGTTTTAGGGGGCGCCAAAGATGACCCAAATATACATTACAGTAGACAAAGTAGTTTTGCCCACTGAGTGGCGCCAAAGGGACTTGTCTGTGGAGTCTGTGAGTCACTATTGGCCGTTTTTGACTACTTTAGATTTTACCTTTATATTTCCTCTTACAAAATTTTTACCTTGCCTTGCCTGGTATCATTTTTTTCAGCACAACCTCACCTGTGTCAATTTACAGTTATTTTATCATTTTGACATACTATATTTACACATTGGACCCAAATTCACACACAAAACATAAAATCCGAGTGGAAAAAAGTAACGTTTTTACTGTGAAAACCACAAATATGTGTGATGAACTGTTTTTAAAACTTAAACTTCAAATAAAAATTGTAAACTTCAAAACATATGCAAATTTTTAACAAAGAACATAGTAATTTACCTCTATTGACATCAAAATGCAGGCAATGGCCCAGGCGTTCTTTGTAAAATTATTTACAAAACACTGTATAGTCTCACAAATGTCACTTTTTATTTATGCCACTACAAAAAAACATGATGTAAATGATGCATGATGTAAAACATGATGTAAAAAACTTGTGTAGATCCTCCTCTATGTTAGTCCATGTGTAATTTTTCCATAATTCTTTGTTTTTTGCAGCATTTTTGTTAGTGTAACTGCAGATTGTGCTGACAGTGTCTGTGGCAAAAAAAAAAAAAAAAAAACTGAAAATGCCTCAACATGAACCCCTGGTGGTCTCTGAGGGTGAAACCTGCTAACTGCTGCAGCTCTGTCAGCTTCAGTCTCCCATGCAGAGCTCGGAGCGCATGTGTGGCTCTGCACCCTTAGCAGCGTTGCTAACTCCTCAGTAAGGAAAGCCTGCTTCATGTCAGAGTCTCTAAACTCCAGAAGTCGATAAAAGTCACTTTCTTTCTAAAAAAAAAGTCGTTAGGGGGTCTGAAAAGTCATTGAATCTAACAACAAAGTCGCTAGGTTTGCAACTACGTGTCCCAGACTGCATCCCTGCTGAGAGTCCCTCCCTCCCTTCTCATATTGCAGGAAGAACGTAAGCGCCCGCCCCTTGTCAATCAGTCACCATATAATTTTGGATTGGTTGTTGTGGTGAAGTTTTCCACCAATAGGAGAGATGTTGTGGTGTGTTTTTTTCTTTTCCTTTGGCAAGCCTTTTCCGCCTGTAAGACCTGTCGCTAATGTCTGCATGCTATGTTTTCCTGTCTCATACAGCGCGATCGAGCGCCGAACGTGATCAAAATAAGCAGAAAACAAGTATCGCGGACATAATTTATCATAACTCTGGTTTTATTTGGCCTATCAACACAATTTAAAAACTGGTATATAGGTTGAGGTCCTCACTTTTGAGATAAGTTGAAACGGAGAGTCAACGAGGCTCCGTCTTGCAGCTACATCCGGTTAAATATGTCATGTGACTTGAACGCACACACACACACACACACACACACACACACACAGACACACACACACACGCACACACACACCGTCTTGCAGCTACATCCGGTTAAATATGTCATGTGACTTGAACGCACACACACACACACACACACACACACACACACAGACACACACACACACGCACACTCAGAGTCTGGTTTTTAGCACCTGCAAAAACATGCTATTTACATATTTGACAAGAATGCAGAGGCTTCCTTTTGCCCCTGAAAAAAAATCAAATTTCAAACACAACTTGACTGCTCATTTCTCCAAAAGACAACCATGAAGCTCCATCCAAACCTGAAGCAGGCAGTTGGTGCATGTGTACAGTAACCTGAGGGGAGTGAGGTGACTGCTTCTGAGGAGAACATGAGCAGTGAAGATTCACCTTGGAGCTAGAACAGGGACGTGTACATGATTATACAGGGGCAGGGGCTCAAGTTTTTTCCAGTCGTTTATACAATATGGAAATTAATGTGAAATTAAAAAACAAAGTATTAATAGAAAGGTAATGACTGTCCTGTGTAGGTGACAGTGATATCCAATAGGCTAGGCACTCACGAGGCTGGCTGTGGCAAGTGTAAGTGAAAGCAACACGCACTGGCAGGAAGAACAGCAAACGCCGATGAAGGAAAAGGGTCTTTGTAGTGATGGGCGTTACCAGAGAGGGCGATGGCCAGAGGACGCGAATGGGACGGGGAGGCAGCGCGTTGGGGGGGGGGGCGCGACACGGCTCGGGCCCGCCAGTGCCCCAACGGGGCCCTAGTTGTATTTTGTTTTTTTTTCCCACTTTTTTCTCCACTTGTTTGTCGTCCATGTTTACAGAACTTATATATATTATATATATATAATATATTATATATTTTTTTCTAATATTTTATCCATACTTGAGTGCTTTAAAGGTTGCTGTCTTTATTTTAATGTTGCATCCAGTTGCACAAAACTGAATGTACTTTTGCACCTCAGGAGCCAATAAACATTTTTTATCTGATCTAATATCACAAGCGACGTAAACCTGCAGATAAAATAGTTGCATTTTGCCTCATCAGTCTTTACAAATGCGAACAGATACCTTGCAAAACAACCTATTCAAAGTATAAGTTTGCAGCACTGTCAGGTTCTTGCAGAGCATTTGTAAAAGGTGCAACGTACGAACTTACAACAAGCCTGCAGAAAAATCTCACATAAGCTGTAATGAATGAACCTCACACCTCTTTTTTAGGCCATGAAACCTCCCCCAAAGATTAATTCCTTAAACACTTACCTCAGGTCCTGAAATCTTTACACCCTCTTCTACTTACCCTCCTCTTCATCAAATCAGCAGGACAAAAATATTCCACTTTTGTTCTGTGTGTGTTTGGGAGCTCCAATCGCGATCCTGACAGATGTTAGAATCATGGTTATGACTAAATCCTGCTTGTCTCAAACCCAGCATTCTGGATTATCCATCATAGCCAATGGCCACATCTGCCATGGCACAAAAATGGGTGTCCTGTCAGTGTGTACAGCGCAGGGTTTCTGTGTGTGTGTGTGTGTGTGTGTGTGTGTGTGTGTGTGTGTGTGTGTGTTTAGGCTTCTTTTTTCTGTATTTGTATGATGTGGTTTTAAGGGGACAAGTGGTTTTATAAGGACAAGTTCACAACAAAAAAAAAAAACAAAAGCGAACAGGAGCCAAGAGAGGAGGATAAGTGGGACAGAGGTTGGTTTTATATGAGGAACAAAGAGTAAGGACGAGACCTGTAATTCCTTTGCATTTAACAACCTACTTTTTCAAATAGATGATTTTTAATGCTCATACTTTAGCTGTTTTTGTGTTTTTTTATGACTCTATTGTGTCTTTAGTTGTAGTTTTAACTCAAATAAGGGCTTTTTAAAAACAATATTCTGACATAATTATTGGTAACACTGACTTTGGTCTTTTGTCGTCATTGGATCCCGTGTAATGTACGGATCTGCTGAATTGGAAAGTATCTTACTGTTTGAGCTGTGTGGATGTATTATTCTAAGCAGATATTACATGGATCCATGCATCCGCAGAAGTCACAGATAACCTGTGTGCATTTCTTGCATTTTTGGGGCACAATGAGGACAGAAGTTAAACATGCTGGTTCAAGTCTGTTGCACTGAAGTTGAAAGGTCCACTTCTGAATAATCTGCAGATTTTGTTCCGACCTCTTAAAGCCTAATTCACTTTGCACCATGTACATTTTGGAAACACGGCCCCAAATGTTAACCGGATGGTTTGACTCTGACACATGACTGTGGGAGTCATAGTAAACTTTACCAGCTTTCTTGTACCAACACAATTTTCTTCCAGCCAACTTCTGCACACTTCATTGTTTATAGTCCTGTCAGCAGTTTATGAATTGACAGTGTGCTCAGATTCATGGTGACTGTGTTTGGTGCCTCTCTACCTCTACGTGTGTATGAAAAATAGCAATCACATGTGTTGGTCTGTTACATCCTCCGGAGAATAGCCAGCTCATCTCTTTCTGATGAATCTCTGATTGACTATAGGTCCTTACACACCAGGCGCAAATTCGCCAGGCGAATTATTCGCCTTTTTTTAAAACAGCATAAAGTTAATGCAAGCTTCCGATTTTTCCGCGGGACGAAAAGCGTCTTTTATTTTTTCGCTCTTGTGTTGAATTTTTCGGAGATTCGCAGGCGAATATCTGGACCTGCTAGACCTCTGGCCAATCAAAAGTCATGTTGTTGATGACGTCACAGACCCATGTGGCTGCAGTTCACACGACACACACCACCACTGGCACCTAGAGCAACGATGGGAGAGAGGCTGGTAATTGGGGTACAGGACCACCCCGCGTTGTGGGACATTTATACGCATATTCGTTTCGCGCCCGGTGTGTATAGGCGAAAGTGATTTTTCGGACCGAAGAATATTTCGTATTTTAGCATTTTCATCTCGCTTTTTCACTCCGCAAATTCGCTGCTGTGTAAGGACCTTAAAAATAGTTAAATTTTCAGTTACACCCTGAAACTTATTTTCTTGCAGTTTACTTGGATTTCACAGATCCTTGGTTTGCTAAAATAACATCATAGTGCAGATAAAAAAATGAAATACCAGCTTTGTCAGGTCAATCCTTAAGAGGAGAGGAAACAGCTTTTAAAATGTTTGTCTGCGGAAGGTTCAGTTGATCATGTCTGATGTATTGCAGGAAACTGAACCCATCTAAAACCCTGTTCACCCTGAGCTTCTTTTACTTTCAGCCTTTTTCTCTGGGCCCCTTTCTTCCTAATCTTCCTATAAAAATTACTGAGCTGTCCCAGTCTGCCTGATTATCTGCATTTTGGTCCTTTTTCCTGCTGCAGAGCAACTCCTGTGAAATTTAAATAGATATGCAGCATCTTCTTAAAACCTTTATTCCCTCAGTGCATCAACATATGAGCACATCCAATTATTTGAATAAAAAATAAGACATGGCATATAAAGTAAAACCTGAACCTGAACAGAACTCCATTCTAAAAGTCTCATCCTGCCTTTACCAGCCTCTCTCTGACATGTATTTACTTAAACATCACATCCATCTGATCTCCTCTCCATTTAATTAATTCTCTGCTCATTAAATCTATATATAATGTATGATTACATACACCTCATCTCCATCTCCAGAGTCTGCTGCTGTAGCTGACATGAGTAATCCTCAGACTGTAGTATTAACAGACTAATGCTACGGGAGATAGAAATCCAATCCTTTGTTTTCCATCAACAAACAGATGCACTGCTCGTGTGCATAAAAAAAAAAAAAACACTCTTCATTGACCTTCACAGTGGTAGAAATAGTCATAAAAAATTACTGTTTGTGAATAGAAGTATTGGTCACTTTTGATAATTGTTGCTTTATGATAAAGAATAGCAATAAAAGGCTTATTAAATCTGAATGACTTTAAAAGCAAACTAAAAACATACCTTTTTAATCTTGCTTTTAACTAAATTTTATATCATTAACTCTGTTTAAGTGTTTTAGCATTTATCTCTTTCTAGTTTTAATAACAGGATCATCTTTTGAGCTATTTTGGTGCTCTGATTTTAGTATCTTTCACTGTTGTTTTCATTTCATTTTATTTATTATTTCTTACATTTCACTCTTTGTTTCTTTGTTTTTAGATTTTAACCTAAACCTCCAGTGTTTCCTTATCTTGAGTTTTAAAATGGCGTTTCCTCAGTGCGCACATTCCTGTTTCCATGAAATCAAGCCCTTTTTAAGTTTATACATTTTAATACTGTTTCTGTTGCATTAGATGGTGGGGTAGGAATGAGGGGTTGGGCTGGGGTTGATTTGGGTATTCTTTTTATCTTGGGTTGGGGTAAATTTGGGTATTCTTTGTTTCTTTTATTCTTTTTTCTGTGTGAAGCACTCTGCGCCACATGTTATGTATGAAAAGTGCTATATAAATAAAGATTGATTGATTGATTGATTGATTGATTGATTATTCAGCTCCATCTGTATTTAACACAATAAAAAAGACAATTAAAGCTGAAAGCAGCAGAGCGGGCCCCGCACTTTCAAGCACATTAGCGACGCATGGCGGGTTGGGCAGCAGCTAGAAAGCAGCACCCTCACCCTCATAAAGGGCCAGCATTATGTTTTGTTCTGCCACCAAGAGGCGCTATAAATGGGGTCAAATATTACCACGTGAATGTGTTTCAGTCCTGACCCCTGTTATTCATAGGGAGTTAGGGGGAGACCACTTCCTGCATCATGGCAAAAAATCTGGGAAATTTGAGGGCTCGCCATGGCCTCGCTCTTTGACATTTTAAGGAATTTGAATGATTAGAATCTCTTCTAGCTGCAAAACAAGAATCAAGCAGATCGGAGAGGAAACCAGTGAGACCTGGAAATAGCTCAAAGACAGGTGTATCTATCGTGTCTTCTTTCATCTACGCGGTTTTGATAAAATGCCATCCAACTGAGAAGGGGGGTGGGGGGCTGTACAGTCTGTAGTCCCTGAGGAACTTGATGACTGGATAGAAGTTTCTGAGGATCTTTTGTGCCCCTCACCTCAATAGCTCTTCAACACGTGCACAAATAAACAGGAGGGAGGTACGACAGGTTTCAAACAGCTCTGTGAAGTAAAGACACTCTATGAGGAAGTGAGGGAGGATAACAGGAGGAACAATTGTCCCATCTGGGAACATTTCCATAGATGAGATGATGGCTTCAAAGTCCAGGTCTCAAACAGTCTCAACCTGCTTACTGGGGATACAAGCTCTTTGTTCTAGCACTCCAGGAACAGCTCCATCTGGGACTTTCTTTGTTCTTGGGGCCGGTTCCAGAGACACGTGAGTCAGCAATGCAACTTTTGGACACCCAGGTGCTGGGCACAGGTTTTCAATAGTATTCATACAGCACGTGTGGAACAACCTACCTTGGAGTAGATTGCCTGCAACAATGATGGACCTGACTAACTCCAGCTGCTTCAACAATTACCATCAGCCTAACCATTATTATCACTGTTTGATATCATTTAAAAAAAAGCACTTTCTGAGCTTTTATCAGTCTGAGTCATAGAGGTCACTTTGAATCTTAAAAATGGTCAATGAAATAAATCTTTCCACAATTTATGTCCAAATAATAATTTTGTTTCAGCCCTGTTAACATCTATGAACATAACAGACACAAAATACAAACACAGGAATACTCACAGGACCCTAAGGTTTCGAGAACCATATAATATTCTCACACTATTTTGTTATGAGACACAACTGTGAGTTATAAATTAGAAAAATGACTTCAGGGAAAATCAAGTAGATATGATCCTCTTTACACGACAGCTCAGCTGTCACCACTGGGTCGTTTACTTCATGAGCTGATAACTGGGACACAGCTGCCACTCAGGAAAGTCTATCATGCTAAGATATCTTCAAAATGGATTACAAAGGTTTGCAATCTTGAGTGGCACCTTATCTCCCTTTCTAATACCATAACACATTTCCAACACTGGGCAGGACCAGAACATATTTTTGGACAAAACTGCATTGGACTGTATTGATTGAGAGGTGAATTTCCTTATTAGAGCACAGGACACACTACAGCAGCAACCTCTGCCATCTTTACCTTACATTTTTTTATTTTTTTGGGAATACTCTGGTCACACATTTAACTTAACGCTTTGAAAGATCCAAGCTGCTCCTGGTAATGTGTATCACTTACTCAGTGGAGAGTGAATGCACTCTTGTTGAAGCTCTTAACAAGACTGCATGATCAATTGACTTCACATGGCGTTTTACGTAGCTTAGACTGCTCTCTAGTGGACAATATGCCAACTGTCTAAATATGATCAAATATGACACCAGCTGTTTGGACCAGCTGAGATTTTCATGTTGAACTC